GGATAAAGATAGAAGTGCGTCCCCTTTGGTTAATCAGTTCGTGCGTGATGCCTATCCACGTGTAAAACCTTGCCGCTCAACGGGGAGGCGATATGTAGATGTATGTTGGGCTCATGAGATAGAATCCTTCCATATGGAAGCCCGGCAGTGGGGACCTCGGAGGCGGCGGCGGAGGCGGCGAATGGAGGTCTTGCTCCGCCTCCCGTGGGAAGAGGGGGTTTGCGCCCGTGGAATGACTCGGCGCAGGCAGAATTCCTGTGTTTTAAGGATATGCCGGAGGCTTTTCTTGCCTCATTCGACCACTTGCGGCATGTCGGGCGACAGCTGTGTGTTTAGTTTTCTGATCGACTCTTCCTCTCTCTTATGCCATCCTATGGAGGACACGTACGCTTTGAAGTCTAAATAAGAGTTGGGCACGAAGGAAGGGAGCGGGAGGATCTGCCGGCGCCGTGATCCTTAGTCCCCGGGTGGCATTGCCCTTCCCGAGTTCTCCGATGAGATTACCTCATACGGTGGCAGTTTTGACAGGAACTGCCAAGGCCCGCTTACGGCGGACATCTTGCCGTCAAAGAAAAGGCAAAAGCGTTCAGGATTGTCGCTGCCGCCCGAGGTGCCCGAAGCAAAAGCCTGCTTGCTATAGGGATTTGGGGTTGGGGGAGGGGGTTTGAGAACGGGTTTTGACTCGGCATGTGAACCCGCCCATGTGGGAGGTTCCCTCGTGTCGTTCGGGAAGCTTGGGGAGGAGGGAGGTGGGTTGGCTCGTGTGCTTCGGTTCGAAACTCTTTCTCGTGTGTAGTTTGGGAATAGCACCGCCCCCCCCGACGAGAAATTGCTCTTTGGGAACTGTACCCTGACATGCCCTGTCAAACGAATTGGGATTGCTGAACTGAATTGACATGTTCCTTCGCGAGAAAGCTTGATACCTGACTGAGGTGGCATGTGACTTTGGTTTTTGTTCTTCACGGTCACGAACCTACCGAACCCCGATGGATGTAAATACCTACGCTGGTAATATTGGTGGCGATGCTCGCGTCAGCTCTCCTTTTTGAGTTACATTCCATCCGGCAGGCTTCTGTAGACCTTCACTGTGTTTAAAGTTGACGTCCCGTTGGCGTATCACAGATCCGAATGGACTGTTCGCATTTACGTTTTTGGAAGCGCGAACGGTAAGTAGGTAGTCAGCCCTTTGTCAATTATAAACATTTCTTGACATTGAGGCAAGTTTTGAAGGGCTGGACGGGAATTTGAGTTCTGTGTCGTGGAAGGCGAGATTGTGCGAGGTGTTCGGACTACTTCAGGCGTCCGTCGCGTCCAGTCGTTGCCGCAGCCCAACGAGAGAGCCTGCGAACCCTGGAGCGACCACCGCGAGCCTATCATTACTCGCGAGGTTTCTCAGTTGGGGAAGCGTTGCTGATGGGCTGGTAAATTGGGTGCCTCGCTGAGAACCGGAGGGATGCGGGATCGTGTGCGTGATTGGTGCATCGTGCTCGGCACATCTTTGCTGACAGTGTTTCTAGAAAATGTTTGTTTCTACAGAGTAGAGACTTGTGAACTGAGAGACTTAGTCTCGTGTGTGTTTTGATTGGTGCGCATGGGGTTTCGGCCCATCGTGAGGATTGACGGTTTAGTTCGGCGGAGTCTTGGTGTTCGCGCTTTGCTGGACACGGCGTTTGCGGCCGTGGTCATGTGCCGTTGCTGGGTGTTGCGTCGCCGGTAGCGTGTGTGGTGGGTTGAATAAGTATTAGCAATCAATAGTTTCCCCCCTTGTCGAGGATGATCATGGGTGGGAAATATAGTTCCTGGTACAACTCTGGGGTAAAAAAGCACGAGTGTGTTGTCGTTATGGGGGCCGTACCAAGAAAACTACTGCAGCGCGCAAACTCTACTGACGGGATTCATGAATCAAGCCATCAACTCTGTTGCGACCCCGGCGAGTTGTGATCTCGAAACGATTTTTTTTGGGGGGGAGGGAGTCGGTGATGGTGATCTGGGGAAAGAAGAGCCTCTATCACGGCCGATAACACGGAGAATTGATAAGGCACAACGATATCAGAATACCTATCAGAACGGGAAATAAACGGCCTGGAAACCACGCGAGAGGTTCGGTTATCCGTGTGCTGCTCAAGTTCGGATCAAAGGCCCCGATCTACCTTAATTCAACACCACGCCCCTTCGCTTGCGTTCTCAAAACAACCGGCGCCGGCTTGCCGTCATTTCTAAGACAAAACAGGACCACCAAGACAAAATGGCTGCCCAGGGACACTGAAACGGGCCGCAGCTCGGAATAGCCCCCAACGCTGGACCTCCAATTCCGGCAGCGTGCTCCTCCACCCCCGGTAAGCTCGGTCCTTTTTCTCTCTGCATTCGATATTGGCCCGCTTTCCGCTCCTCTTTCCAACCGGGGGTCTTGGACGACCAAGACCAACGGCACATAGATTAAACATCGGACGGTCTTGCACCGCAGTAAGGGCACAGCAAGTCGCTTATTGACCAGGGAGGTTGTTTACCCTGAGGAAATCGCGATTCGTTCTACGGGGACCAGCGGCATGACAGCCAACGAGGAGAGCGAAAAAGGGGGAGGGTGTTGGCAGGAATTCCCAAAGAGCGTTCGCCAAGTCTTCAGGAACGGCAGCAAACTGTGGAGAAACATTCTGCTGATTGGAGGAGTCGAGATGTTCCTCATGGGACCTCCTCCCAGGAGGTAGCGCGATGAAACGTCAAGCCGGCTGAGCAAGTCGTCGACCGACTCCACTGTGGTTCAAGCGGACGTCAGCGCCTGTTTGGCTGTCAAAGTTGGGTTTTTCTGCTGGCGGTAGTGCCGCTGCTCGCTGGCAGGCGGGAGCTAGACTCCTTTGCGTGTGGTCAGCAGTCCGGTGTTGCTCGTTAAAGCTGCGGGCAATATGTCTGAAGCAGAGGGATGCCTGTCAGCTCCTCTGTCTGTCACTCTGACGGTCGACATATCGACAGGGATGGGGGTTGCTATACGAGGAACTGGGTTACACGCCTTCCCGCTCCCCGTCGAGGCGCCTAGCTGATGAGTTGCAGTTTGCCATGATTGCACCGGTAGTTCGGGAAAGATGGAGAAAGGCCCTGATGGAGTTCTTGGGATCCCATCAATTAGGGAGATGAAGGGGTGAAAGGGGTTGATGGCGCTTGGTGTTGATGGCGAGTCCTGAGCTGCTGTATATACCACTCCTGAAGACCGAACGAAAGGCGAAGACTTCCTCTTCGTCTCTCTTCCAGTTCGTCTTCCCCCTTTTTTGTCTTCTCGGTTTGCCCAGCGGTTACCCCAGAGCAGATCCGATCTCCGATCCGAAAGGACAAGCCCGCCAAGATGCTCGCCTCCGTAGCCTCCGTCTTCCTCCTCGCCGTCTCCGCGGCCAACGCCGCCCTGACCTACAAGGGCGCCGACTGGTCCTCGGTCACCATCGAGGAGAAGGCCGGCATCAACTACAAGAACTCGGCCGGCGCCTCCCAGTCGCTGGAGGTGATTCTCAAGGGCGCCGGCGTCAACTCGGTCCGCCAGCGCGTCTGGGTCAACCCCTCCAACGGCGACTACAACCTCGACTACAACCTCGCCCTCGCCAAGCGGGCCAAGGCCCAGGGTCTCTCCGTCTACCTCACGCTGCACTTCAGCGACACCTGGGCGGACCCGAGCAAGCAGGGCATCCCGTCCGGCTGGCCCACCGACATCGAGAACCTCAGCTGGCGCCTGTACAACTACACGCTGCAGGTCAGCAACGCCTTCCAAAGCGCCGGCGTGCCCCCGGCCATCATCAGCATCGGCAATGAGATCCGCGCGGGTCTGCTCTTCGAGACGGGCCGCACGTCCAACATGTACAACGTCGCCCGCCTGCTCAACTCGGCCGCCTACGGCATCAAGGACTCGACCCTCAGCCCCAAGCCCAAGATCATGATACACCTCGACAACGGCTGGGACTGGAACACGCAGAACACGTGGTACACCAACATGCTTGCCCAGAACCAGCTGACGCTTGCCAACTTCGACATGATGGGTGTCTCGTACTACCCCTTCTACAACAGCGCCGCCACCTTGGCCTCCCTCAAGACCAGCTTGACCAACATGGCGAGCAAGTGGGGCAAGGAGATTGTCGTCGCCGAGACGAACTGGCCTACGGCGTGCCCGAGCCCGAAGTACGCCTTCCCGAGCGACCTCAAGGACATCCCGTTCTCCGCGGCCGGACAGACGACCTTTATGACGAGACTTGCTGCAGTTGTTGCAGGAGTTAGCAAAGGAACTGGGCTCTGGTACTGGGAACCGGCCTGTTTGTAGCCCCTCTTAACCTCTAGATGAAGTTATACTGACTTATTTGATGCAGGGGTTGATAACCAGGCGTTGGGATCGAGCTGTTCGTCAAACACGATGTTTTCGTACCCGGGCAACGCACTGTCGAGCTTGAACGTTTTCAAGAGCATTTAAGTGGGTCTAGCAAGAAAAAAATACCCATCAGATACCAGGAAAGAGTTATGAATAGAAGGCGTGGTTGAGTGGTTGTCGACCTTGGGTGTGGTACACATCTGAGGTGAGGTGTTGTGGAGGGTGTACATACCGGACGCCGCCCCAAAGGACAGAGACTACTTCCGCCCGTTGGGAAGAACAGTACATGCCTTTTTTTCAGCAGTAAATAGTTTTTGAGCGCTTCTCGTACATACATACCTACTTCAGCCAGGTGCTCGGAGCACCGCTGGCCGTATATAAGCATTGACTGCCAACGTCAGCCTCATGCCTTGAGCGTGATCATTTAGCAAAAGTAACTGACAGCAATTTTGTCGCATCTATTGTATTAATCGTACACGTAAGCTCAGTGTTATCTCCCTCTCATGCAAATAGTCAACAATCGGGCTACGAATTGGATGGACGGCTAGTCGGATTCGCAGCTTCATTTTCATGCACAGGTTCATTTCATGGTCACGGCGGTCAAGCTGATTGTCGATTCAGTCTCAACTAAAACTGGTGAACTTTCCCCTCTTGCGCCTCTCTATTCTGAATTCTCAAACTTCCGCATGTTGGCCAGAGGAGCCGCCGACGAGGTCTCTGCGGACGCGCCTTCATCCTCGTCAATTCTCGCCAGACGCTCGTACATTTCACTCAGCTGAGCATCCTGAAGCTGCCGCATTGTCATGCCACTCTTACTAAATAAAGATTAGTGAAACTACAGTAAAAGAGAATATACAAGAGGACAGTGATAGAAAAAAAAAACCCATTTCCTTACAATTTCTCGTTGATTTCGTTGTCGATAGCGCTCTGATCGCTGCGAGCCTCCTCAAGCAACGTCTTGGCCTCAGCATGCCAGTACTCCAAAGAGGCTCGCTGGGACGCAGTCATCTCTCCCAGGAGGGCCTCGCCGAAGAGTCTCACAGCTTCAAGGCTGTGATGAACTAAGTCGGTCTCGGATGTGGCAAGTATCATGTGCGTTCCTGCCTTGTGAACACGTCCAAGTCGCGGCTCAGCAAGAAGCTCCAGAGCCTTGGTCTCTACAGCTTCAGTCTCGCCCTTGTTGTGCATGGTGCAGATGTGCCTGAAGCGCAGCTCGAACATGGCTGGATTTGTTAGCATGGTTGGCTTCATATGATCCGCGGGAAACCCACCACCAAGCTGGTCGAGGCCGCCATCCTTGGAGAAGGTGGTCGATCCAGCAAATTTCACCTCCTTCAGCCGGCCTCTTCTCACCTTTCTTTGTCACCAGCGGAAAGCGCTGCCTCCCGTCAACGCATGGTGAGATCGGTCTACGCTGAAGACTACTCAGGCTGCTCAAACCGGATACATACGTACGGGAGCGACTTTGAGAATAACAGCATCGTTCCAGGTCAAGCTTAAGAGATTAGAACTCTGAGAAGCCTGAAGCCTGAAGCCTTTCCAGTGAAAACCACAGCCCCTTTCCGATGCTATCATGAGTTGCAGCACGGCCGCCAAACTCCTAGCGTCGTCGAATATACATGAGTTTCTACTTCGTCACACAGATGATTTTATCAACAATATCCAAAACCCGAGTTCCTTACTATTCATCGCGGACACATTACCAAACGAGGCGACATAGAGATGGTGTGGGCTGCATTTCCCAGGCTTGCGCACGGAAAGCAAACTTGGCATTCTCGAGTCGAATGAAGTCGTCGCTACCCTAAGTTCTCTCTCATACGGCTACTTTTCTCTGGACACAGGTCTCAATAGGAGATAGTGATGGCGCAGTAGTATGTCAGAGTTGCTTTATGTGTGGTCTCACTCAGGCCACGAAACTTTGTTCCAGTCGATTGGAGCAAACGAGCGACAGTAATACTACGACACTGGGATCAACATCAACATCTACACCCGAGAACACCGGGCGCTCAGGATTGGTGCTTTCTTTCAATGGCCAGCCGTTGAGGAAAACATCTGGCCATTCTGAATAGGGTACCTAACTCGGTGTGTGAAAGAACGTTGGTCTGACGATGCTCTTCACCGAGCTCACCGATCGTACACCCGACCGGCGTTCGCCAGTTGTGGATGCAAAATTCAGGGCATCCTACGGCGAGGTGGACCTGGGCACGGCGGGAGTGATGTCAAAGAACGGGCAGACGGCCAAGTGAAGCGCGGCGTGGACGGGGGGCCCGAGCGTCCGCTTCGAGAAAGAGCGTGCATTGTGCCCGCTGACGCGGTACGTACCGCGCGACTGCCTTTTTTTTTTTCTCGATTAAAAATCACATGACTGCGGGGGGAGGGCAACCGAACCCTACGGGCCAAATTTGGGCCATTGGTGCAAGTCAAGCGAAACCTCCAAGCGACCGTAGCCCCGTCTCCCAAAACTTCGACAACCGCACCGGCACTTCAGCTTATTCGCTCTCGATAGACCGCATCGACAGCGAATTCCCTGACCTCACAACACCGCAAAGATGGCTGACGACGAATACGTACGTGCGACCCTGTCTTCCCTCCCTGGTTTCGATGGATAAAGACCGCGCCGTCGCCGCGGTGGCGGTTGTGGATTGAGGAGGAAATGGTGGCGCGACGAGACCACATCGCAACCAAACTGCATCGAACAATTTTGGCTGACTGGAGGGATCCATACAGAACGCCGAGGAGGCTGCCGAGATCAAGAAGAGAAGAGCGTTCCGCAAGTTCTCTTACCGCGGAATTGACCTTGAGGCGTACGTTTTGCCCACTTGAGAATCCCACCTGTCCACACCCACGCACAATCGAATCCCTCGAGACCCGACGATGAGATCATCACTGCCTTTCCATTCCACGAACCTGCCGAAGCACCCGCCATCGAAGACACAGAACCGTCCAGGCTAACATGCACTCTCACACAGTCTCCTTGACCTCGACTCCGAGCAGCTCCGCGATGTCGTCCACGCCCGTGCCCGCAGGCGCATCAACCGCGGTCTCAAGCGCCGCCCTATGGGCTTGATCAAGAAGCTCCGCAAGGCCAAGCAGGAGGCCAAGCCCAACGAGAAGCCCGACCTCGTCAAGACCCACCTCCGTGACATGATCGTCGTCCCTGAGATGATTGGCAGCGTCATTGGTATCTACTCCGGCAAGGAGTTCAACCAGGTTGAGATCAAGCCTGAGATGGTTGGCCACTACCTGGCTGAGTTCTCTATCTCTTAGTACGTCCCTCTCGGATTCCCTCCGCGCGAGGCCTTTGGGAACAGTTTTCTAACAACCCTACAGCAAGCCTGTCAAGCACGGTAGACCCGGTATCGGTGCTACTCACTCTTCTCGTTTCATTCCTCTCAAGTAAGAGGATGGTTGTGGGCTGTCTTTGGGAGGTTCTTGCATTCAACGGACATCAAGGCGAAACGGGAAATGGTTTTGGTAGCATGGCAAGGCCACTATCATGTTGTTTGGGCAATGATAGTTCAATACAACATCGTTGTCCGCTAAAAAGTTTGAGCCTCAAAATGGGAATGAAATAAACGACATGGAGATACCAAAACTACCTAAAGCTTGACTCGCTGCCTTCCTCTGTGACTGCTGTGACGCTCTGTCTTGCATTTGATGTTGGAAAAAAGAACCCCGCTTGGTGCACGAAATCCAAACCTAAACTGGCCCGCTCATGATGCAATCTGTCACTCGCCTATCTTAGCCCTCCACATGGACTAGACCCGCCGGGGATTATTGCATAGTCTTGAACGTCAACCCCGTTGAGAGGCAGAGGCTGAAGCTCCATTGGCAACCCATCATTTTGGTTGGTTGGGGAATGTCCTACACTGGTTCATTCTCCCCCAAGTAGATTTGTACACAGATGCGGAGACGCTTTCATCGCTCGTCAGGCTATAATGAGAGCCCTCATCTGATGGTCAAAACGTGGGTATATAGGGTCTAAAAATGTGGTATGTGCATGTAATCATTACAACTCTTGCTTGCCAAGCTTGTTCAGCTGGAACTGCTCGTGCGCATCCAGCCTGTCATACAGGTCCTTGCTCCAATGGCTCTTGTCTCCCTTGTTCTTCTCCATGATGGCCTTCACGGCCGTCTTCCAGTTGCCGTCGCTCACGCGGTCAGCCACCCTCTTGGACGCATCCGTCTCAGATGCCTTGAACAGGGGCCACACGCCGACATCGGCTCCCATGCTCTCGTCGAGGAAGCTGTCGAGGACAAGCTGACCGGTCTTGCGCTGAGCAGTATCCCAGCGGGCATCTTCAGGCGCGAGCACCTCGAGAAGGCGGTCCATGCCCTTGTTGGCGATAAAGTCGTCACGAATCGTAGGGCTCTTCAGAAGACCTCTGACAGCGGCGACATGAGCCTTGGCCTTGTTTGCGGCGCGGAGGACATCGTGCTTGCTCTCTTGGGACGGCACGAAGGAGGCGTAAAAGTCGTCTCGGAGCTTGGAGGCTCCCTTAGTCTCGGTAGCGGGGCATGAAGCGTCCATAAGCTGAGGCCACACCTTGGTCACCTCCTCAAGAGCCTTGGGGTTGTTTTGCAGGGCGCCGGAGATGATGGAGGCGGCCTGCTGGTCACGGGGAACGACACCTTCGATTGGTGCGGGCGTCTCAGGGTCTGACATGAGGCAGAGGAGGGACTTGACGGTGTCAAATGTCTCGGTGATTTTCATGCCGTAGTAAATGTCGTGAGAAATGTCCTCGAGAAACTCAAGGGCCTCGTCGATCGGGAGGTCGGCCCCGTTCGCGCCTTTCTTGACGTAATCGAGATGGGAGTAGAACTCGCTTGACTCCTGCGGGGGCTGCTTCACGGCGCCGACGGGGTCGTACTTGGGAGCGTCCTTGGGCAGTCTCGGTTCATCGTGGACCTCCTCGCCATCCACAACCACAATCGAGCGATCGACCGGCAAGCCCTCCACCGCCGGGTTCTTCTCAGTCGGATCGTTGATTTTGGCCTCCTTTTGGCCGGTGTTGATGTTCATCCGGATGTGGAGGCCATGGGGCAGCTCTTGGTCGTCATGTACTATTTGAAATTCCTCTGTCGGTTGGAAGATCTTGGGGTAACATTCCGCCGGGTTGTCGGTGTGGCAGATGAGTTCGACATCGGCCGATGGTGAGGGTGCTGCTGGTGCCGCTGATACGTGTGATGAAGCGGCGATTGTGGGTGCGAGGATGAGAAGGCCGAAGACGACCATGAAAATAGTGAGAGGGACGAAAGATGCGCGGTTTGGTGGTCTTGGCGCCATCTTGAATTTTGTAAATTGTGGTGTTGTGATATGTAATTCCAAAGAGAGGTTGACCTCTTCAGTCAACGTCGTTGTCGCCCCGTTTGCGGCGAGGGATGATGAGACCCAGTGTTATTGTATGAGAATAGCGGGCACGGGCAACAATAAGCTAGTGAGTCCAATAAGAGTTGTGTCGAAAGTCTAAAGCCAAGGTGGATTTGAGATGCTGATGCGACAGACGAATGCATGCACTCTTATAATCGGGTTAATGAACGAAAATGAGTCAACGGAAAAAGGACAGTTTACCATCACGAAATAGAAATTCATCGAATTCATCCGTCTGGCCAAGTTGTCTCATTGCCCCATGCTCAAGGCCGTGGTACCCATTTTGAGAGGCGATTCTCTTATTTGAATTCGGCAAGTCGTGATTGGCCAAAACAGCCGCCACAGCCGCTGCGGCGCTAAACCGCGAAAAGTGACGCTCCTCCCCGACTACCGAACCTTGGGAATCACCTCCACACCCGAAAGCTCCCTCCTCAATCCCCACGACGACCCGATTCCCATCGTCAATTGACACCGTCCCGCAACGTCATTCACGATGCAGGCCATTCGAACGCGGGGTGCCTGCATCGCGCGCCAGTCCCGCCTGACTGGGCTGCGCCAATCGCGATCCTACGCCTCCGGAGGCGACCACGGCCACCACCACGCCCACAACGTCGAGGAGCCCATCGGAGTACGTTCTTGCGCCAATTGGCCGTCGATGCGGAGATTTCGGAAGCTAATTGAGTTGTTTTTGGCGTTGTAGAACTTCTTCTGGGCGACCGTTGCCGTCATTCCCGCTGCGTACTTCATGTACAAGATCAGCCAGCCCGGCAAGGACGGCGAGCCGCCATTCCTCACCAAGAAGATCCACGAGTACTGGCACTACCAGGAGACATGGGCCGAGAGGAGCCACCTTCACACCAAGGCCGTTGAGCAGGCCGGTTTCGACAGGTTGCTCTTCTTCTCCACCCCGGCCAACCGCGACGTCGACCTCCGCTTCCCTGAGTGAGCCTTCCCGAACCACGATGATATAACTGGACAGTGGCTGGGAAAGCCCAGAGGATGCAGTGCGGCTAACACAACTTTTCTACGCAGGGCCATGTCTAGTCACGCCGCCCGCAACATTGTTGCTGGCTCCCAGACCAATTTGGACCACGTTGTTGCTCACTACAGGAAGCAACATCTCGACGAGGAGGAGCGGAAAGCCCAGCTGCTTGCGAAGAAGCAGGAATGAGCGAGGGGTGGTGTTGTATGATACCGTTACATAGATCGACCCGAGGTTGAATCAAGGCTTTCAGTTCATTTGTTACGTTTACTGCTCGCCAGGATGTCGCGAGTCTCGACTTCCTTCCAACTTGATCAATTTCTCTGGCAAGGTCGATGATGTGTGGAAGTACCGGCGAGCGGGACCGACATGCCCCGTCAAACTTGTGCCTGCCACACCACGACAGTGATGAGCCAAGAGAGGGAAGGGCCACTGTTAAGGTAGGAAGCTGGATTCAGTGGACTTCCTCATTAGCCATGTGGGATGTGTTCATAGAAGGCGTTTTCCACTCCGGTCTTAGAGGCAGGTGCCATATCCCTTGATCTGTGACTTCAAACCCCCTGTCTTTACCTCCCCCGTTTTTCTCCTCGTCACCCTAGACTTCTTCTTGGACGCAACGTCAATACTGCCAATATCCATCGATCATCACTTCTGCCTTAATTACTATCGACCTCATATGCAATGGACCCAAACGCGATTGTTGATCCCAGTCAGGATGCCACTTTGGTCGGAGAGTTGCTTGAACGCCTGGCGATGATCTTAGAGCAGCGAAACTCGGGGCAACCAAGACCACCCATGCCAACAGCGCCGCCGCCGTCGGCAGCATTGGCGGCGTCATCGTCGTCTCCCTTGTCGTCCTTGGGACCAACGCCAGAGCGACCAACGCCAGAGCCGCCAATGTCGTCGGTCCGTTTGCCGGTGGCGTTGTCGTCGTCGTCTTCCCTGTCATCCTTGGGACCAACGCCAGAGCGACCAACGCCAGAGCCACCAATGTCGTCGGTCCGTTTGCCGGTGGCGTTGTCGTCGTCGTCTTCCCTGTCATCCTTGGGACCAACGCCAGAGCGACCGACGCCAGAGCCACCAACGTCGTCGGCCCGAAAAGCGCTGATGCTACCAAAGCGTGAACCGGTAGACTCATCAGAAATGGCGCCACCATTTGGAGAGTGCCCATGGACAACCACCCTGCCTCTGCCTCCCTGGAAGCCAAATTCAATCTTCCTGTCTCTGGACGAGCCTAAGCACGGAGCACGTCACTCACCGGATGACTACTCGGCCGGGCAAGTGATGTCCACCTTAAACGAGGATAACCGGCCGTACTTTTACATCAAGGAGCAGACTATCATGGAGACCCATGTGCTTTGCCGCTTCTAGGAACGCGGAAATGCTTTCAGATTGCGCCTAGAGTGCGCACAGCACTTTCCTCTGATGAAATACATGCCTCTCGACCGGAACAAGATCACGGCTCTTGACCACGGAATACTTTGCAGGTTCATGAACACCTTGGGCTTCCGGGTCATAGGCCTCAAGGTATGGACCGACGAGAGCCATTGCGTTCCCAGAGGCGACCCACGATGCAACGCAGAGATCCGTGGGCCCGACATGTTTGCCACACGCGACCTCAAAAAGGGCGACGAAATCTTTCTGGCAACTCCCAATTATATCTGCAGGTGCCTCATGTGCCTCGAGGAGGCAGAAAGCATACGGAGAGAACTCGAAGAGGAAGCCAAAGAAGAGGAAGCCAAGAAGCTCAAATCGGAGCTTGAAGATTCAGGCAACGGTAAGTCTCCGGGGCCTTTGACGAAGGACAGCAAAGACGATTCTCAAGAGCAGAAGAGGAAAGACGATTCTCGAAGACTACCGGCCGGTACCCAAGCACCCGTCACTCAAGCATCTCGCGGCCATTTGATCTGGACCACAACACTCACTCCGGACAACTTCAACGACGAGTATGATGGGTCCTCCGAGCAGTCTGACGAGCCTGATAAGATCAATGACATCAAAGGCATTCATGGCATCAATGTTATTGATGATGCCTCTTCGGATGAGTCCCGTTTGAGTACTATACCCGAGGAATCTGGCGAGGACGGGGACGGGGACGGGGAGTTCAACATGAACAGCGGCGAGGACGACAGTAACTACACCGGCAAACGCCCGGACAGTCTAAGTAACCACTTACGGAGACCCGACTCGGGGTCCCGGGCGGACGCTCTTGTACCCCCACCAAACTTTTTGGAAGAGCCTTTTGAGCCTGATGGAACAAGTGGTGACTACCGTGAATATTCCGAACAACTGAATTATTGGGGTAAGTCAGTGAGTGAACAACTGAAGTATTGGAGGAATTCTGGGCATTGAGGAGTGGCTACTGCTTACAACGCTGCATTTGCTCTTTGCATGGCTGTTACTGTTTTCGCTGCTCAGCAACATGGCGATAAGGCACATTGATAATTCACAGCGTTGCATTGATGGCCTTGAGAGAAGCCTCTGTCTTGGTACTGGGGGACTCACGGCAGATAGAAGTCTTATACATTAGCGTCATTGGTATTGAAGGTTACGGAGTTCAAGTAGCGCACTTTTGGGAATCAAGCCACAGCATTCAACACAAGACCGCAGAACCGTAGCCTGTGACAAATGCCTCAAAGTTTTTCCAATGGTCTTGATAGCTTTACAACTGATTTGCGTTATCATGGCACAATGACATGTGTCAGTGTTGTCTGTCCGACAGAATTGAGGGTAGAGCTCGCAGAGGTTCTTATTCCGTTACCTAGCATAAGGCCGGTGAGTGTAGTCTCCCCAGCTGATATTGTTTGGCCATTGACTCTGGCTTCAAGCAGAGCAGCAGCGAACCATCATAAAAAAGTTGATACCTCAAGCCCATGCGAACCGCAAGTCCCATGCCAGTTCCTAGGAGCGCCAATCCAGTAACACCATTGTGCTAGGACCATTGTGATTCGATCTCCCGCAGGCACCTTTAAGATTCTCTCGCATCCCCAGAACCGAACTTTCGGACCACAAAGCCCATATTCCAAGGTGACACCCAGGCTTTCTTCACGAAGCTCGATGTCGTAGGCAGGAAGACGGGGGGTCGGTATTCGTATCGGCTCGGGGATACCGGAATCCGGTCGGCTGCGAGGGGGAGAAGGCGCCTCCTGGCAGTAACGGCTTCTTTAGAAGCCGTGGACCTTGACAAGCTAGAGGAGGGAAACGCGTTAGCCGCTTTCTTCATCGGGCTCTGACAAGGCATGGCGAGGTGGAACGGGATCTCGTTGTTGATCACGGAGGGGTTCAAGGATGGGAAGGTGGGGTCCAGAGTCGCGTGCTTACCTTGGAGTCCATCTCGAGACCCTCCTGCTTGTCGACGAGGAAATCGTGAATGTTCTTGCGCTGGTCGCCTGTTTTATAGGAGGAAATAAGTTAGACTTTGCGCAAAAGGATTGGAAGCTACGGCGAAGCTGTTGGGAGGGTCAGGAGGGAATGGAGGGGAAGGTCTGCGACGCACCCTGGAGCTGAATGACCTCACCGAGGTCCTGGTCCTCCACAATGGTACCGTTGCAGGCGAACTTCTTCTTGATGACCTTCAGGATCTTCTTCTGGTCGAAGCGCTTGGGGAGGCCCTGGATGGTGGTGAGGGTCTTGCGGCCATTGCGCTGCTGGATGCGGATGTGGATGTAGTCCTGGCCTTTCTTGGGATTGTTGTTGCCCTCGCCCTCTTCGGCATCAGCGAAGGGGTCGATTGTCTTGAGGTTTTCGATGGTAGTCATCAGAGGCGCGTGTCGCGTGTAGCGTTAGAATATGGAATCTAAAAGACGGGGGTGTTGTAAGTGTCAGGGTGTGAATGCGCAAATGCAGTTGTTGGTTGTGGTGATTTTTTTGTTGGTTTTGGGGAAAGTGAGTGGAGATTTTTTTGCAAGAGAGCTTGGATGCGCGTTTGGGCGGGGGAAGCTTGTCAGTTTTTTTTGAGGCTCAGAACAGAAGGAGAGACCGGACTAAGAAACGGTGTTGGTGGGATGAGCAGAAGGCGGGGTGATGGAGGGGTCTGTGCACGAGCAGTGATCTACCAATCCGTTCCATTGTCCTCGGGTGAGATCCTGCTGGCTGGCATTGGATGCAGCACACAGCCACAGGGCTGACCTGGTGCGGCGTGCCTGCTTTCCATCGCTTATCGGCAGTCGATGGCACTAGCCACATGTGGACGTATGTGGCGCTCTATGGAAACATCGCAAGTCTCTGGAATCTGCCATCCAGGCTTTGTTCAGAAAAGCTTTAAACCCCTTTTTGTTGATGATATCAATATATAATCTCAATCATGCCTGCCGTAAACGACGGCATTGAAGTCCGTGGCTCCAAGGGCGGTGCCAAAGGCGGCCGCTCCATCCACGCGACGCGCCGCTTCAAGCCGGGCGACGTCATTGCCCGCTTCGACGACCCTGCCGTCGTCCTTCCGCCAGGCCACCGCGCGCTTGAGTATTGCAACCACTGCCTGAAAAGGCAAGGCCACGCGGGCGTGGGCAAGCTGCGCGCTTGCACAGGCTGCAAGACGGTCGCCTACTGCGGCGCCGCCTGTCAGAAGGCCAACTGGACGCTGATCCATAAGGTTGAGTGCAAGGCAATCCAGTTCCTGCATGAGGTCAAGCCGGCGCACCAGCCCGACTGGGTGCCCACGCCCATCAGGGCCGGGGCGCAGGTGATGCTGAGGCCGAAGTTGAAGGAGTCGTTTGATGCTTTGGAGGGGCACGTCGAGGAGTGGAGAAAGAATGACGAGATGGACTTGCAGCTTCAGGCGCATGGGGTTTTGAGGTGTTGTGGGCTTGATGCCATCACTTTAAAGGGGCTAGAAGAGTCTTTCCATGTTCTATGCAAGGTAATGGCGCTTTCGATGGGGACAGGAGTTGCACTGACATCCTGTAGCTTCAGACGAACGCTTTCAGCCGGACGGAGGAGTACTATGAGACGGGCGGTGTCTTCTTGGATACGACGTTGGCCATGATCAATCACTCCTGTGTGCCCAACGCGATGGTGCAGTTTGGAGGACGGACTGCCACACTTCGATCAGCCACGTTCATCAACCCTGGCGATGAAATTGAAATTTCTTACGCCGGTAAGTTGCCTTTTGACCCTCGCAGCTTCATGAATGCCCTTTAGTAACCTATGCCAGACCACACACAACCCAAGGGCAAGAGACAGGGCGAACTCGACCTCTATCATTTCGAGTGTTCTTGCTACAAGTGCGAGAATGATTTAGACGAGTACCAAATCGCCATGAACGACTCGACCATTGAGCTCAACAGCATGAGCGTCATGCCTGACATCGAGCGGTTCAAGAATCCACCCGGCGGCGGCAAAACCGATCCTCCACAGGGATTGATGGGCTTGAACATCCAAAAGATCATGCCCGTCTTCCCGCGCGACATGCCACGTGACGAGAAGCGTGAGTGGCTGAGGAAAGCGTACAAGACTGGATCGTATTTCGTGACGACGGGCAAATGGGCCATTGAACCATTTGCGCAGGTGGTAGACGAGGCAGCGTACTACTTCGGAAAGGACCGGGGAAACCACGAGTGCGCCCTCGCTATTGCTTGCTTGTCGGCGTATGATATTGAACCATTCAAACACGTCGCGCCTTTCCATCCCTCAAGACTCAAGGGATTGTCTGCCATTGCCATCGCTTTGTCGAATACGGCGCCCAACCCTGGGAAGCTCACCAAGCTTGCCAGAGACATGGCTGCGCTGAAGAAGTTTCCGCCTGAAAGCGTCAAATTGCTGGAGAATCTGGACCAGGTCTCTCTGTGTCAGATGGTATTGTCGATAATCGACTTTTACAGCGATCTCGCACCGTCAGCTGACTGGGAGCCTCTGGTACTCGCGAAGGAGATGCTGAAGGACATTGAAAGCCTTCCTGGTCGCGAGAAAGAGACTAGTTTGATTCTTGCGTGGAGGACAGACCCGAAGACTATGGATGACTTTTTCAGGTTTGGTCTTGTTGAGCCGATCAGGACATTGTCCGAGCTTGGAAAGGTTGTGCTAGAAGTAGATCTGGGCATGGACCGTGATCTGTCTGCCAAATGATACCCACTTGATGAATAAAGCAAGAAAATGCTGTTCTTCTTAACAGTTGGAGCTTCTAGTTCGTCTTCCGCCTGCAGGGGGACCAATTGAGTTGAGTTCGTCAGTAAAAGAATCTTGCTTCGATCTCTTGGTTCTTCTCTTGTCAATAGCACCTGATTTCGTCAATTTCGAATGGGCAGTTCCTTGGTCGTCAGCTGGCTCGGGAGCTGCTCGTCTTTTGCGAGCTCGAGGTTGGGTAGCCTTTGGCATTGGCTCCTCGGTCAACTGGCTTGGTGCCTGGACCTCGTGCTGCAATGTTGTTGTCTTGACCGGGCTGTCTGCAATCCCCAAAGCGTCAGGGTAGGTCTTGGGTGAGACTGATTTGGGCGGGTGGTCATCCCTTCCCCGCGTAGAAGTCTCGACCCTGGCTTCTAACCGCTGGACCCGGCTTTTGAAGAGGTCAAGTTCCATCTGCAACGACTCCACTTGGTTTGCTCTGTTTCCAATTTTCGTGATATTACTGGCGAGGATGTCCAGTTCTCTCGGCATCAAGAACCCCGGTTTCGGGTCGTTCTTCCGGTGGTGAGTCTCCAGGTTTTCTTTCAATTTGGCCAACTCCATCCGTATATTCGCCGTTTCTTTGGCAGTGTCCTTGGCGATACCAAGTGCATCCTTTGTAGCTTTCCTTGCACTTGCAAGCTCCTGTCGAAGATTTGACGAGGCAGTCTCAAGTTGTTGTAGATGGTATTTAGTGGTATGGACTTCTTGATTGAGCTTTTCTGTTTCAACTTGTGCATCCTGACAAAGCTTTCCCATCTCTGCAACGGCAGCGCTTGCTGTCTGAAGCTTACTGTGCAATGGCGATGTAAGAGAGTCTTGGTGGAGAGACTGTCTCATGTTCACCACGTCTTTCTTGACAGTAAAAATGTCCGCCGCGTGATTGTCGATGTCTCGTCGCAGATCCACCATGGTCCCGTTGAGCTTCTTGACCTCGCGGTCAATCCGAGTTATGGTGTCATTGAATTGAGATACCACATGGTACCCTGCAGTGTCAATCCTTTCAATATCTTCGCGCTGTGTTTCAAGGTCAGCTTGTATGTCAAGCAGGTCGATGGATTCAGAAGCCATCGAGGCATGCCCGTCGCTCAAGCCGGAGTCGTGATAGTAGCTCGGTTGACTCTCTTCTGGTGGTCTCAGATCCAGCGTACGGCGTACCCTCAATTCTGACGGATTGCTTTTTCTGTCGAGAAATAGGACTGAATTTTGCCGCAGAAGAATTTGCGAGCTAACAACAGTGAGAATGCGCTACTTTGGGGATCTCCTAAACTTACTCGTCGAACACATGGTTCACCGGACTGCTCAAACATTTGATTCCAATAACTTGTTGGCATTTCGCGCATGCGATGTCCTTTAATTCGCTGCACAAGTAGTTAGCGCTCCAGGCTTGATTCTTGCTTGAGAAAAAAACTACCGCACCATTCAGCCACCAACGTTTGTGGCTCCCCCTTTCTGATGGGCTCAACGTCGACTATTTTGACGTCGCCTTTGGCTTCTAGGACTGGACTGAAATATGACTTCCCGATTTGAGTCCACAAGTTGGCAAACTTGGCCAAGTTCGCCTGGCAATTCTTACATCTGCACTGAACAGTGTCCATCTTGTCGCATAGCGTAACGTGCAGTTGGCTCGTGATGTGCAGGTGCTAATGAAGATGCTTGCTGGTGATAGGTGTGATAGGAGACAGAGACTCTGGCGCAATCAAGATGATTAATCAAATAAAGCGAAGGATGAAAATGAAAATTACGGCGCCGTCGCCGATGTTGACGCGAGGATCGGGTTGTTTAAGTTGCGTGTTGCGACAGGAACGAAGGCACTGGCCATAAAGGTAGGCGCCATTGAAGATGCAGTGAGGTTGGCAGGTCCCTCCAGTGTCCCTGCCTCCCTGCGTTGACCAGGGTGCCTAGCTGCGACCGCGGGCCCACTACACCCTGTGTCCTTATCTTATCTTCATCATGTCCCATTGGCTCTCCCCGCAAGAGACCCGTAATTAAAGTTGCGTCGCTCGATTGACAGAAAGTTGGATGGACATTTTCTGGGCTCCCGGTGCAGGTGCGAAAATAATCATCCATCTTCAACCCCACCACTGTTCTCAGAGGCGCATTGCAACCTCACCACATCTCCAATTCAGCTTTTTGGGGGTTGCTGATCATGGGCAAGAAGAAAAACCGTCAGCCCTGGAGTGCGCAATTCACGGATGAAGCCATGGCAGACATCAACGCCCAACCCGCCGACGCGACAGTCGACCCTGCCGTCGACAAGCCGACAGAAGCCAGCAATGCTACGACCCGCGAGAGCTCATCGCAGACCCAAAGCAGCGAAAGTCTTAAAAGATCTGCCCCGGACGACGATGACGAAGGATGGCAGAAGGTCGAACGATCGAACAAGAAACGCAAGAAGATCCCCCGCGAAGGCTCCAATAGCTATCCCTCAATCAAGTTTTCCACGAGCGCCAAGATCTTCAGCAAGATCAATCTCGCAATGCTGCGCGACCTCGTTCTCTACATATTCGCCGATGGTACTGGCCCCAACTGGGTCTCAGTATCCCACCGACCGAATTTCCGGAAGATTGTGGTATTAATGATACCGGGACTCGAGGAAGCCATGTTCAAGGAGGCGGTCAACTTCTCGACGTATAAATCAGGCCCTGCTAGTAATCAAGATCTGCTGGAGACGTCGCCTGATGACTACTATCCTCGAGAACTCTCAGCCGAGAAGCTGCCACTTGCGCTTCAGGGTTTCGCCAAGATGTTCCCTCACATCTGGCCGGTCAAGGCTCCCGGCGACGACAAGTACATGAAGCTTCACTCGCCTTTGGGAACATTCTTAACCGCCCCAATGCCCAAGGATAAGAGTGACAGAAAGGGCCCCAAGCCAGCTAGAGAGCCGAACGGCTGGAAGAACGAGCGCACACGCATCACCGAGTTTCTGGCATCCCTCGAAGAGCTGGAAGTCGCAGGTCACCTCATTCACCCGGCGCTTATCGAAAACGAAGAAGTGAAAGCATCTTTCAAGGTCCCAACCGGATGGGTTGTGTCAAAGGTCGACAAACTTGAGGACGGCGACGTACCCGAATCGGAAATCGAGAAGGGTAGCGTCACGGCTGGGCGTGAATGTCTGGCACTGGACTGTGAGATGTGCATGACAGGCGAGAACGAATACTCCCTTACACGCATCAGCATCATCACTTGGTCCGGCGATGTCATTATGGACGAGCTGGTCAAACCCGAAAAGCCCATCATCGACTACGTCACGAGGTTTTCCGGTATCACAGAGGAAATGCTGAAGTCTGTGACGACGACTCTTCAAGACATCCAGAAGAAGCTGCTCGAAATCGTCACACCGCGAACCATTCTGATTGGACACTCGCTCGAGTCTGACCTCAAGGCGCTTCGTTTCTCTCACCCCTTCATTGTCGATACCTCGCTCATCTACCCTCACCCACGAGGACCGCCGCTTAAATCGTCACTCAAGTGGCTCACTCAAAAATACGTCAATCGCGAGATTCAGAAGGGCGGTGCTAATGGACACAACCCGATCGAGGATGCTAAGGCGTGCCTCGACCTTGTGCGCCAAAAGTGCGAGAAGGGAAGGCTATGGGGTGCGTCTGATTCTCAGGGCGAAAACCTCTTTCGACGCCTGGCAAGAGCCGGTACAGCATACAAGGCCCAGGGCGGCGATGTTGGCGGTCAAGTTACCGGCAAGACCAGCGCAGCGGTAGACTGGGGTGATCCGTCCAAGGGACCCGGTGCCGGCGCGACGCATCAAATCGGCTGCAAGTCGGATGCGGACGTTGTCAAGGGCGTGATTCGCGCTGTCAATGGCGACCCAGATGGCTTGGAAATCCCCGGTGGCGGCGTGGACTTCGTCTGGGGTCGCATGCGCGAACTCGAAGCCCTTCAGGGCTGGTGGAACAGGAACCGGGTCGAGAACGCCAGCAGCGATGGTGGCCCTCCGGACATCGATCCTGCGGAGCTCAATCCCAATCTCGGTAGTTCAGACCTCGAGAGATGTTTGGCTCGTCTCTCAGCCCGGTTGCAGGCCATTCACGATAGCCTCCCACCTTGCACAGCATTCATCGTGTATTCGGGGTCTGGAGATCCGCGCGAGATGAGCAGACTGCAGGCGATGCACTCCCAGTGGAAACGAGAGTATAACACACCTGGAAAGAAGTGGGATCAGCTATCGGTCAAGTGGACGGACAACGAAGAGCAAGCTCTTCGACGCGCCGTTAAAAAGGCCAGACAAAGCGTTGGCTTCATTGGTGTGAAATAAGCAGGCCAAGAGGGATGATTTTGCAGAAAGACTGCCATCCTGGGGGTTATCCGTGTCCAGATGAGTTGCATTGTACGTCTAGGCGGTATAGCATATATGGTCCCTAGGACTTCAGGAGGAGGATGTTGTGCACTAAGGCGGCTTATGGCTGTTTACAACTGAATGATACCCCTAGGTTTGTCGTAGAGGCGGAAATAGGTACTAGTGTAAAAAGAACCGGGGCAATGAGAAAGCCCAGGATAGTCTTATGAAGAAACGAATTAGATAGTCCTCGGTTCTGTAGCTCCCGCAGACGAGACTCCAAAAATCAAGGCAGGAGGGGCTTCACCTCACTTTTAAAAGCCAAAACAATTCGACGCACGTAGCGCAGCTCCTGGTGGCAGTGAAGTGTTTCCTGTTGTATCCATGCACAGCTCACATGCCGCCGCATCGGAATTCCAGGTCCTGTTCAGCCAGGGTCCACACCCGGTGCCACTGCGCTTATCCGTCGCAGATGCTCTGTGATTGGCTCCCCCGCCTCCGGCTGCGGAGAAACCGCCAGGCCCGAGCCCCACGCCGGCCTGCCTCGGTATGTTCTCGGAGACTCAAGTGACTGGTGTTGCTCCAATTACAAACCATCCACCCTGCCTGCTGGTTCTTCTCCAACTCAACCGACAACGCGTACCACTTCCTCTACTCCCCAGACGCCACTCGAGCTCGAGCCGACGCTAACTGTCTCTACGCTTGCGGTTGTGCACTTCGACTGCACGTTGCACAAACCTCACCTCTTACCGACACATCTTCAGCTACCCACGGCACTGTCACCATGTCGTTCCTCGGTGGCGCAGAATGCTCAACCTCCGGCAACCCCCTCAGCCAGTTCCAGAAACACGTCCAAGATGATAATACCCTTCAAAGAGACCGACTGGTGCAGAGAGGGCCGAACGCTCTTGCTGGCGGCTTCAGGAGCGCCGGCGCAAGCACTCCACAGGATGAGGTGGGCAGACCCCGCACTCCCGAAGTTGCACTTTGGGCTGACCGAAATTACAGATGATGAACGGATTCCTGAACAAGGGACCCGGCCTTCAACAAGAGATCCCAATGCCGAACGGCGCGGTCCAACTAAATCCTGCGCAAGGCGTCCACCTCCGCGCGAACTCGACCTCCCCAACGTGGGCGAACGATTTTCAGAACCAAGCTGCTATGGAGTCTGCCTTCAATGCTCCTCCCGGCACACAATTCAGCCCCGAAGAATTCTCACGCTTCCGGCAGATGAACCAGCAGCCGTCGTCGGCCAGGGCGAGTCCGATGCCCAGCCAAATGGCGCAGCAACCGAGAATGGGAATGAACATGGGGATGAATATGGGTATGGGTTACAACAGCATGATGGGTCCATCTATGTTCCAGCCCATGTATCAGCAACCTATGCACCAGCAGCCGCAACAGGACGTTAAGGGCAAGGGAAAGCTGGTTGAGCTTGATGATAACAAGTGGGAAGAGCAGTTTGCGCAGATGGAGTTGCAAGAGAAGGAAGACCAGGAGGCCAAGGCAGCCGAGCCAGAGCTTGACGAAATGGACAAAGCCATGCAATCAGAAACTGGTTTTGGTGACTTTGAGTCAATATGGAAGGGAATCGAGGCGGAGACAGCGGCAGCTAGAGGCATGGTTGACGACTCGACATTCGATAAGTTCGACAGCGAGGATTGGGGTCCTGATTTCACCGGTATGAGCAGCGACTGGGGCCGGCTGGGCGACCCGGTGGTGGAGAACTACCTTTTTGAGGAAGACAACTTCTTCAGCGAAGAGAAGAACGCCTTCGACGAGGGTGTTCGCATCATGCGTGAGGGCGGAAACCTGTCTCTTGCGGCGCTCGCCTTCGAGGCTGCGGTCCAGCAGAACCCAGAGCACACCGAGGCTTGGGTGTACCTCGGCTCAGCACAGGCGCAAAACGAAAAGGAGACAGCAGCTATTCGTGCTCTCGAACAGGCTCTCAAGCTAGACCCGAATAACTTGGCTGCTCTCATGGGCCTAGCTGTTTCTTACACCAACGAAGGCTATGACAGCACCGCCTACCGCACCCTCGAGAGGTGGCTGTCCGTCAAGTACCCCAACATTATCGCCCCGAAGGACCTCCATCCCATGGCTGAGATGGGCTTCACAGACCGCCAGCAACTGCATGACAAGGTTACTAGCCTCTTCATCAAGGCGGCACAGTTGAGCCCTGACGGCGAGCATATGGACCCTGACGTGCAAGTTGGTCTCGGAGTACTCTTCTATGGTGCTGAGGAGTACGACAAGGCCGTTGACTGCTTCACCGCGGCTCTCCACTCTTCCGAACTCGGAACGTCGAACCAGCAAGAGCAATTGCACTTGCTCTGGAACCGCCTGGGCGCCACGCTCGCTAACTCCGGCCGCTCCGAGGAGGCTATCGCGGCGTACGAGAAGGCGCTTAGCATTCACCCCAACTTCGTGCGTGCGAGGTACAATCTGGGTGTCAGCTGCATAAACATTGGCTGCCACGCTGAAGCTGCTTCCCACTTCCTTGCTGCGCTCAACATGCACAAGGCTATCGAGAAGAGTGGACGCAACATGGCGTACGAGATTCTAGGCGGCGGCGACGGTGCCCGCGGCGGCACCAATACTGCTGCCCTTGACGAGCAGATCGACCGCATGACGGCACAGAACCGGAGCACCACTCTGTACGACACGCTCCGCCGGGTGTTCACTCAGATGGGACGCCGGGATCTGGCCGATAAGACCGTTGCGGGTGTTGACCCTGAGATCTTCAGGGGGGAGTTTGACTTCTAATCCATGGCATTCATATGTCAGGGTTGTACAGTAGTGAGGACCTGACGTTGGCCGCCTACAACGCCATGTTGGGTTTGGATGAGAATCGAATGAGAATACGTCTTACGAGTACCGGGTCGCCATGTAGATATCTCTCGCATAATTTCACAAGTACATAGTACTTGGGGTTGGGGAAGGACATTCATTCAAAAGTTTATCCCACTTGAGTACTTGTTCATCCTTTCGATCGCACGTTTTCACAGTGAACAAGCTTGAGCATGCCATATGATTGGTCGGCCAATTCCCTCCACACCATGTTGGGAAAGCGTTCGTTGTCAACAATGAGCCAGTCTTACAGTGGCCAAATTGGTGACGTGAACGCAGAAAAAAGTGTCTTATACATCCGGACGACGGTGCCCGTCCCCGACGGAGGCGGAGACGATTACCGGGCGGGGCCGGGGGGTCAAACCCGCCCACTGTAACCCAGCGAATGCCCGCTAGGAAACAAAAACGTGCTCAAACTCACAACTACTGACTTACCCAACCTGATGCTACCGCAAAACTGTAAATCTCTTGTGCCACGAAAACCTCAGGACCAGAGTTGACTGTAGAAAACCTCTTCAAGATTTTGAAGCTTAGTTGAGTTCAACTTCATACGACTGCTATAGCAAACTCAGAGAAGCTTCCAGTGGGCCGCTCAGAAGGGTCGCGGTTGTACCCGAAGGATCACATCCCTGGGCAATCTCATCGAACGGAGCCCTCCTTATTTATAAGTGTCTTCATTCACATCCTCTCAAACCTTCACCGTCCAGAACACCCTCAATAGACTTTCTTTAGTGAAAATGGGTTTCATCCTTCAGACCGGCGTCTTGTTCGCCGTCATCCTCGCCGTGGGCCTGCAGCTCGTGTTGAAAGACCCTATCAAGCTGGGTCTTGGTCTGGGAAAGACGTTCCAGCCTCTCTCTGACTTTCCATACTCCTGCCGTCGCATCGAGGACACCAGGCTGCAAGCATGCGAGGACATGTGGCTGTCGGAGGCAACACGCACGCTGTTCCTGGCCTGCTCCGACTCCCTGGCCCGTCAGCAGTGGATGCCCAAGTAAGCCGTCCCCACCCCCCGAGACAAGCAGCCCGCGCTGCCGGAGGCTGACGCCCGTCCCCAGCGGTCATCACTTCAACATCTCGGGCCGCTCCACACGGGATGCCGTCGTCGCTTTGGATATCGACAAGCCCAAGGATGAGGGGTTTGAGTACCGCGCTCTCTCGACGCCTGGCTTCTCTGGTACCGCCGGCGATGGCCTGCTTCAACTCGTGGGTTTGACGGGCATTGATGCACAGGAGGACGGCAAAGTTGAGCTTCTCTTGGTCAACAACCGCCCTCCGGTTGACCCTGTCACAGGCGAGCTGCTCAAGGAAGCCAATGAAGGCGCCAATGCTACAATTGAGGTGTTTGAGATCGCTCCCGCTGTGACGGAGATGAAGCACATCCGCACGTTTGCTAATGCTAACATCTCCACGCCAAACAACATTGCCGCCCTCTCTAGCACTTCGTTCTACTTCACAAACGACTGTGGCGATAAGAAGAGGGGATTGGTGAGATAGCGGATTGGTCGTCAACTGCTGCCCTACTAATATTCTCATCACAGGGATTTTTCCTGAGCGGTTTCCTGGGCCACGGTGATGTGTCCTACTGCTCTACCGAAGGCTGCAAGCGCATATCCACGCACCACAGAATGCCCAACGGCCTGGTCCGCGGCCACGACGGGCTCATCTACGTGCCCAGCGCCATGGCCGGCGGCGTTCAGGTGTACCGAATCAACTCAGAGACGGACGGGCTCGTCAAGGTCGCTGACATCCCCGTGCCCTACGCCATTGACAACCTGTCCGTGGACGGCAAGGGTGACATCTACGCTGCGGTGTTCCCGCGCGGGATCGAGATCCTGCAGGCCTCTGAGGACCCGCTGAACGCCAGGCCGAAGAGCGCGGCGGTACGGATCCGCAAGGAGGCCGATGGCGAGTACGTGTGGGAGAAGGTGATTGAGGACGGCACGGGAGAGCTGCTTCCTGGGTCCACGACGGTGGTGCACGATGCGAAGACCGGGAGGCTGTTCTTTGGCAGTAAGTGGACACGACTTTTCCTACTGTGAACTAAGGCTAACTATCTCAGGTGTGACTTCGCCATTTATTGCTGTGTGTGAGCCGAAGCCTTGAGGTGTTGGTAGAGGTTCATGTCTATATTACATTGGTCTAACTCTTCTCACATCCCTTTATTAGAGTAAAATAACTGAATACAATACTCCTGTTCCAGAAGTACTATATGCCTTTCTGCTAAGAAAGGATAGTGGCTACGTGCAGAGGCACGCTGGGCAAAAGTGCAGGATGTACACATGTCGCGGGCAGAAGGCTCACGATCGCACTATAGGTATGTCTTTAGGCCGTGGCCGTATGTCTTATAATCATCGAAAATCTTCTACCATTTCTGGATGAACGCGTGAAGTAAGGGCAAAGCTTGCCGAAGCACATCAGGATTCCCCAATCCAACCCTGAAATATCCCTTGAAATCTTCGTCATTGCCTTCGCTGAAGCACACGCCGCCCGGAACCAAGCAGATGCTCTCTTCCACTTGCAGCCTCTTGCAAAAGTCCCCATCATCGACAGGTACTTTCGCTTGATCCAGGATCTGAATGAACGCCATACCTGAGCCTTGTGGCTTCACCCAGCGAACCCGTCCACCGCTCTCCGCAATAAATTTATCAAGTAAACCAACGCTCTCTTGCCACAGAGAGATGTTGCGCTTCATCATGTTCGGCATGACCGCTGGATCCAATGCAAACGAGGCGACACTGTCGTCAAGCCGAGACACAGTGATGGTAGTGAAATCGCGTTTCGTAGTGATTTCCTTCGTCAACTCTGGACTTCTCGTCACAATCCAGCCAAGTCGTATGCCGGGAATAGAGAAGGCTTTTGATAGGGAACCGCTGGCAATGGTGTTCGTATAGCCTAGATTGACAATTGAAGGAGCCTTGGGCGAAGTGAAAACCAGCGGGTTGAACACCTCGTCGCTGAAGACGACGATGGAATTTTCAGAAGCAATTCTTACTACCTCCCGTAGAAAGCTCTCTTCAAGAACGATTCCTGTGGGGTTGTTGGGACTACTACAGATTGGACATTAGCTTGATTTGAGGGTCGTCCAACCCCGATCGTGGATTTCTTACTTGAGAATAATTGCCTTCGTGTTGGGTCGGATCAACGCGGCGAGCTCTTTAGTGTTTGGTAGCCAGTTGTTGGACTCGTCCATTTTCCAAAGACTGACATCGACGCCGCCGAACTCTGGTACCAGATAAAGCTGCCCATATGCTGGGTACTGACAGATCACATGGTCTCCGGGGCCACATATGGTATCCAATATCAGATAATTGGCCATAACGGACCCAGGAGTAATGATAACGTTGCTCGGATCAACCTTATCTTCGTTCGTGGAATGCAGTGCCGCAATTCGCTCCCGGAGCCTGCGAGATCCCTCAAAAGGGCCATAGCTGAGCTCCAGATTCTGGTCGAAGACTTCTAGTGCAAGGTCTGTCGAAAGTGACTTGAGATGGTTGATAGAGAGTGCTTGCGCATAAGAGCCTGGGAAAGCTGTAAGCCAATGAATTGCAGGACCGTGACCTCCAGGTTGGTATCTCGCCTTCTAAAGCATATCGGTTGCCAACCTTGTGCAATTTCTTAGCTTTGGTTGGTCATGAAGGGGCATATGGACTAAACTCACACCGTAGAGGCGCACTGTTGAAAATAATCAGTCATCGAAAACAATCGAGTCTCGCTGAGAGAAAGACGAGAGACAACTTACTCCATTCATCAATCTTAAAGTCCCGTACGTTCTTCATGTTGATGTTTGTGAGCTGGTTGTGCTGGCCAAGTTGGTATTGATGTCGACGACGAGGCAGTCTTATACTAGATTTGAAGTCACGATCTCGGAGCCTATCGAGGGCATGCGGTCTAAATGCCGAAGGACGTAAGCCGAGACTAACCGCAATATGATACCTAGAAAAGGGTTGTATCAACAACCCACCCTGCGTATATCATGTGGGAGGATCCATCCAAAGTAAGGACAATGGGTCCTTTTGGGACCTGATCTGAGACAACATTATACAACAAATTGGAGTCAAGGCTTTACACAAGATATGCAAGCGACACGGATCAATTAATAAATACGTTGAGAGTCTTTGCTGTAGTAGACTTACACCTAACTTGCCAGACACTCTCAGACATTCCGCCGCTGTAGCGGTTCTGCAATACGGTGTCTGCGAATGTGTGCTTGGCGCCTCTTGAAGTCAATGAGCATTCTCTATCCCTCTGACAACCAGATGTGTATTTTAGCTCCCCCAAGATTGCCCCGATCTCGGAGCTCTAGCAAGAAGTGGAATTCTCAAGGTCAAAGCCCCGTCCGCATGGAGACACTAATCCTGCTACATTCGAGCCAAGACAAAAGTCGTGCACTTATCAGAACCTCCCGCAAACGCTTCGCTAACCTTTCAGATGCGATGTGTACATGGCGGGACAATGATAATAACTCTAGAGAACAATCAGCCCATGAGAAGACGGCTGAAGTGACCGACAGAGCAAGAGAACGGAGCCGATGATCGAAACGCGTTACGAAGCTAAAGGGAGTTCCATTTCGTTGAACGCTCAGTGTTCGCAAACATACACCGCATGTCAAATACTCCCTAGGGTCCCTACAACGCGCCCTACAACGCGCCCTATACGCCTTGCGTCACAACTTTCAGCGGAGACTTCCCACAACTCTACTCGGCTGTAGCCGCTCCACGAAGGCGATTATAGTGAGAAAGGAGTAGTCCGGTGTCGACCCTGGCTGCTCCGCCGCGGACACGTCCGTCTTGCGCCCTCCTGGAAGGATTGTCTGCCGACTCGAGAACCTCGCTCTTACGCCTCTCTTGAGTTTGCTCTGATACAGAGGTGAATGCGTACACTGCATATAGATGATATAGAGTAGTTAGGAAGGAATCGGGAACCATAAAAGCTCTGACGTTGTTGCCTTTCCACTTGTTCTGCCGAGACACCACCGCTAGGCACCTTGCCCATATCCATGTGCCGGCCACCCTATGACTGATTGCATTAATTACTGAGCAACGAGTTGAACACTTTGATGGCCTAGAGTATCGCCATCTGAACCACCACCTGGTTGCAGCACAGCAGGGGTTGTGGAAAGTAATTGGGGGGGTATGGCACAGCCGGAAGAATGAAGTCCCTCACCTATGCAGTCTATCCACTGCTCCACAGTTAGAAGAACAGTATCAGTACAGTCATGTCGATTTACTGATGAGCCTGTAAACCTGAACAACTGATATGGACAGCTTTGAGCAAATGAACCGAGTTATCTTCGACAGCCATCGTATTGCAGACTCTGCAAATCCAGTCTCTGGAACGTCTTCAAACTCGTCCGGGTTTGTGTTGGCGTTTTGTCTCCAGTCCTATTGGCGCCTTCGGTCAGTCAAGACTCAACCATGCACTCACTCATCAGAACTCCTCGTAATGCCATTTGCGACTCTCAAACACTTGAATTTGATCCATATGCGGATTTCCTTCGAGAAGGAGTCCTTGTAGAAGTTGCTTATCAATGTAGCACAAGAGAATGAAACCCCTCTAAGACCTGAAGCCTTGCTTTTGGACGCTTTGCCCATGGGATATTCACGCGCCTCAAGTCTCTTACTTGCGCGACTCCAATTAAGAGACATCGTTGAAGCTCTCATAGAACAGCTTGCCAGGCTGGTGACTGGTCACACAGGACGTCCTGCCTGAGGCGATGATTGGCCTAGAGATATATGTATGTGCATCACTAGTTCGTAACCTGATCTTGGAGTCCACGTTTCTTGAGAGGCTGGTGTCTTGGTGTGCTAGCCCTGCAGCTGCATGACTGGACCTCGCCCTATTGCTGCAGCCATTTACCATCCGGCGATTGAGAAATAATAGAAGTACGACCGGTATGCCAAACCCAAAGCTCAACAAAACGGATTGACCGGCTGATTACAGAAGCGGAAATGATGCAACTTGAAGCATGTGGCAGTCGGAGGTGGCCCCGTTTTCAGAGTGCCAGCCACGTAGTCAGCAGCGCCAAGTCGCAGAGTCAAATTCACATGGAATTCGACACCACGTGGGAGACAGTGACCGAGACAACTGACTCTTGTATCTGCAGTGCTCCATCTTACTGTCTGCAAGATGGAAATTCGACCTGTGTGTAAAAGAAGCAATTGTCGTTCCAGAAGCTGAACATGGGCGAAGAATCATTCGCAATACCGTCCCATGTCCCCTCAGTCTTCCCGGGTAGCAACACCCCTAATAAGTGACACAGCATCTGAGTTGTCGTCCTGTCACAACTGTTGCATCACATGCCAAAAAAAAAAGAGCCCGCAGCAATCCAAGACCTTCCCCGGACGGGCATCCCTGGGGACGGATTAGCGCCATCTCAACCGTGCGTNGGGGGGGGGGGGGGGGGGGGGGGGGGGGGGGGGGGGGGGGCTGGTTCTCCTGAAGCGAGAGCTCCAGCGCAAATCCACAGCGTGTCGTGCCGCAGCGCAGCGGCAGCGTGACTCGCCCAGAGCCGAAGCCATGGACATCCGAGGTACACCTGCCGCACCTGGGGTGTCCCAAGGTCCCAAAAGTCCGTCACTCCATCCCGTCCGTCTGCCGTAATCGACCACGTCCGCCGTCGCCTTTCTCTCTCCCCGACAACCTCACACACCCGCACCTTTCCTTCGCATGCGAAATCTAACCGATTGTTATTTTCATTCTTTTCTGTAACTGCAGCATTTTTTCTCACTGACGACCCATGCGCTGAGCGGAAGAGTGCCAACTCAACAGCGGCCGTTCGTCGTCGCAAACACCATCGTCTCCTTACAGCGAGCTGCGATTTGCCGAGGCTAGCCAGGCCACCCCCGTTCTTGTTGCCAACATGTCGCTCGCCGCCCTCGATGGCCTCAAGGTGCGATTGCGAATGCATCGTCGCATCAATTCTGCCTTCTTTCGGTCCCAAATGCTAACGCGCAACTCAGGCCGCGATCGAGCGCATCATCCTCGACCCCAAGTATCATGACATCCTCGCCGTCGTCAAAGGCGCCCGCAATGGCGCTGTCTACGGCACCAAAGTCCGCTTTCCCCACGCCCTTGTGTACGTCGCAGTCCTCGTTCCAGACCAGCAGCATTGAGAGCATAGCTAACATTTTCCTTTGACAGAATGATCTTCCTCTTCCGCTCCGGAACGTACGTCTACCTCCCCGCATGTCTCTCCCCCCGAACCCATCGTTAACACCTCCCTCTCACAGCTTCCAACAAAAAGCAAGCCTTGTATTCAAAGCAACCCGAACCCACGCTCGCAACCTCGCAAAGTTCGCGACAATCTACAAGGGCACAATGTACCTGCTTAAGCACTACGGCCCGACCCCGGGCAAGGAGGGTCCCTACGACTCCTTCTTCGCAGGCCTGCTGGGCGGCTACCTCGTCTTCGGCGGCCGCTCCCCGCGCACCGGCAAGATCTCGAGCGTCAACCAGCAGATCGTCATTTATGTCTTCGCCCGCGTCGTTCTCGGCCTCGCCCGCCTTGCCGTCGCCCCCGGCAAGGGTCTCCCCGTCGTCAGCCGCGAGGACCTCTCCGCCAAGATCAGCTACTACGCCTGGCCTGTCTTCGCGAGCACCAGTTGGGCCATGGTTATGTACCTCTTCCGCCATCACCCTGCCGACCTGCAGCCCAGTCTGCGGAGCAGTATGAACTACATTTATGTACAGAGCAGCGAGTGGGACTCGCTCCGGAACTTCATTTGGCATAACAAATAGACGGACAGGGGCGTGTGAGATATACCACCACTATGAGATTTGGATGCCTGCGATCATCTTTGGCGCTGTTCTGTATTATGAAGGCAAAGGTTGGCGTTTGGAGGAGGTGTCTTTTGGACGGTTGGCTTGCTACAGTCATTTGGGGGAACGGATGTCCCTGCCCGCATATTGGAGGCAATGTTGTTCTATTTCTACAACTTCATGACGTGGCGTTATAGACCAGTCTACCTATCATACACAATAACGAATTTGACTTGAATCGGCTTGCGCCAGACGCCCCGGTCTATCTATATATGCTTCCACCCGTTCTCCCACATGATCTGCATCTCGTTGATGAGGCACATCTCCCCCGGCTCACTTCGCGGCAACTCACTCGGCGGCGTCTCGTCAACCCACTGCCGCAACTTCTTCTCAACCGCCCACCGCTCCAACGTAAGCTGGATACTGTTCCGCACCCTCAGATACCTGTTCGCCCAGAACCCAACCACCGCAGCCCACGGTGTCGGGAACCGATCCATCTTCGTCTGCTCAAACACCCTCTCATTGTACCCCACGCGTACATTGGGGTTCAACCACACCCCTTTCTCACGACTGAGAGGGTTATCCGCATGAATCAGGCAACACTCCGACCCCTCCAGATGCTTCGCCGCAAGACTGTCATCGGCACCGCGGAACCGCAGTCCATCGTCATAAAACGGCGCCGCGTCAAACACGACCATGCCGTTCCAGCACGACTTCACCTTCACGGGCTCCATCGCCTCCGCAGACGCTCGCGCGCGCGGGCTATGGAACCACGGCCAGTACCACGACGCCGTCTTCAGACCCGCGTCGTCGCGCAGCGCAAAGGTGTCGTAGTAGTACGGCCAGAGGATGAAGTCCATGGCGCACGCGGCGGCGCAGGCGCCCCCGCGGGTGCCCAGCAGCGTGTGCACCTCGCGCGTCTCGAAGACGACGTCGTTGAGCCAGATGACCTTGTCGAACCTCCTGCCCTGCGAGGCGAGGAGATCGATTAGGGGCGCCATGGCGCGGTTGCGCTATGTGACGCGGCGCATGTCGAACTGGCTCTCGTGGGGGTTCCATATCCACCCGGGCGGCAGCGGGCCGAAGCCGGAGGACGGCGGAGGCCGGTCATGGATCTCGGCGAGCTGTTCCGGGGCTGTCTTGCCGAGGATGATGGTGTTTGAGACGCCCTTGGCGTTGAGCTGGTCCTGGAGGGAGGAGAGCCTGGCTTTGGTGTCATCTTTGGAGCCGGACTCGACGGCGGAGAAGTGCACGCGGTCGGGGCCGAGGTAGTCGACGAGCTTGAGTATGTTAGAGGATACGGGATAGGCTAGAAGGGCCCCGTTGTTTCGGTGGATGCTGGCGATGAAGAAAGTTTCGTTGCCGGGGTGCCGGGAGGGGATACTGGCTGGGTAGTCGGTGACGGGGCGGTTGCGGATGATGAGATAGGCGTCTAGGGTGAAGAAGAGCAGACATATGTGGAGGAGGGAGGTCCGCTTCAGGCGGCGCATGGGCAGAAGCATGACATCTGGTGCAAGATGTTTTGATGGGATTCAGAGGAAGGCGAATTAGTGCACATTGAGAATAGTCATCTGTTTGGTTTGATCCAAGGCAAATAGCATTGCCTGGCCAACCGAGAGCCTCAAATCGAATACTGGGTGCCAAAACTCTAGGAGGATGCGAGGGGTCGATACACTTGACAGACTATGAAGCTATCACGAGCCTAAGATGCAAGTCACAGCGAGATATGCCAAGCTCATTTCCTACCCGCAGCGGAATGTACCCCTGGCCAAGTGCGGAGTGCATTTCCGCGTCTGCAGGGAAGCGGGTCATATTGATGAGGTACGTGCATCGTGGCGCACGTGGCTGACGCACCAAGTCCAGGAGGTTGCCGACGCCACATCGGTATCTGAATGCCGAGAATCAGGGTGCGGCGGTGAAGATTTCGATTAGTCTACAGACCCGACCTGGCCTTGGATCTTCTTACGAATCAACCAACACTTTTTGTCTGCCCATTCCAACTTGCAATTTTTACGTACAGGAACCAAGCTCGCGGCCCCGGCAACGGCGCCGTCTGATTACTTGAGCAGAGTTGGCATAAATCTCTGATCGGTGGCAGAACCCTGAATCGTCTCCACCAGGACGCTTGACAACGAACCAGATGGCAGAAAGCCCACGACAAGCCTCACGTTTCCAGCTCTAGCCTCGACGAGTTTCAAAGGGTTGGGCTTGTTCCCGGCCAAATCCCGAAGTCGGCATGCAACCTGCGTGTTTCTTCCTGTGAAAGTGGAGACACTCGACCGGGCCGTTGCATGCTCCCCTCGTGGCATTTCTCAGCACGTCAGAACTTTTCCCCGAGTTTAAAGTTGTTATCGCGCTTTCAGCCTCTAGGAGCATGTAGGGCGTCACAGAATACGGCTCATCTGTCGCTCGGTTTCCAGCAACAAGACCCTGGTCCCTTGATACTGGAGACGTCATTCCCGTCCCTCCAGAACACCAGTTCTCCACCTCGGCCCCGTCCCGTTGCCTTCCAGTCTCTTTGACATCGTACTATCGGATTTCTAAGCAAGCTGCTGCCAACGTGGCTCGAGGTCCCCGTCCGCCTCGATGATTCGCTGCTTCGAGATGTTGTTCCTCAGTCTTCTCCAGCATGTCGCCAAGAACGTGTCCCCCTTTGCGGGGACCGCAATCTGTTGAGTAGTCGAGTGACTTGGGTTCGTTCGAGAACGTTGCCTTTTGCCAGGAACCCGCGGTTTGCGCCTCATGATAGGACCGAACCGCTCATACGGACGGCCTCACTGAGCTGGGCGTCGCGGACCACAACCCTTCTTTCGGTTTCACCGCTCGGAGGATGGAGGGGCGGAAGGGGGGAGAAAAAAGAATGGGACCTCTTCCCCCGAGAAGTTCAGAGAAAGTCTGGCCGGACCCGCTTCCCGAGTTGTCGCCGTGCGGTGTTCCATCACGGGCCCCAAAACTTGTCAATTTCTAAGCTGCCCTGGAGGGGCAAGAGAAAACTTCTTCGCCCAATGGATTAACAAACTCATGCGGGCAGATCTATGGTGGGGGCCTGTTGCCGAGGATCTCTTGACGATGGTGGGACTCTCCAGATGCTTCTACGGCGACACTCCTTGGCTGGGCTGTTTGTTGACTTACACGATGTTGTTCAGTCGCATAAATACCCTCAACCCTCCCGCTTCGAGTGAAGAGAGAGTTTAGAAAGACAGGCACAACTTCAACACAGTCTCCTATACTATACTTCCCACAAGCTCAACTACTTGACACTCTTCTCTTGATACCCCTTCTGTTTCCTCACTTCCAGTTCGTCCACCAACAACACCGCTACAATGGCCGCCGAGAACACCAAGCTCTTCCAGCCCCTCAAGATGGGCAAGATGGACCTCGCCCACCGCGTCGTCATGGCCCCCCTCACCCGCTACCGCGCCGACGACGACGGCGCCCCGATCCTCCCCATGGTCGCAAAGTACTACGCCGACCGCGCCTCCACCCCGGGCACCCTCCTCATTAGCGAGGCCACCGCCGTCTCCCCCGCCGACATTGGCGACCTCAACCTCCCCGGCTTCTCCACCGAGGCCGAGTGCGCCGCCTGGAAGCAGGTCTTTGACGCCGTCCACGCCAAGGGCAGCTACATCTTCCAGCAGCTCTGGTCCCTCGGCCGCGCCGCCGACCCGGACTTCGTCAAGGGCCGCGGCTACAAGTACTGCTCCTCCTCCGACGTCCAGATGACCGGCCGCCCCGTGCCCCCCGAGCCCCTCACCGAGGACGAGATCTGGGTCAAGATCAACGCCTGGCGCGACGCCGCCAAGAAGGTTGTCGCCGCTGGCGGCGACGGCGTCGAGATCCACGGCGCCCACGGCTACCTCGTCGACCAGTTCACCCGTGACTCGGCCAACAAGCGCACCGACAAGTGGGGCGGCTCCGTCGAGAACCGCGCCCGCTTCCTCCTCGAGATCGTCAAGGCCTGCGTCGAGGAGATCGGCGCCGAGCGCGTCGCCCTCCGCCTGAGCCCCTTCGCCACCTTCCAGGAGTCCTACAGCACCGACCCGGACACCTGGGAGCAGACCCTCTACGTCGTCCGCGAGCTCAAGAAGGCCGGCTACAAGCTCGCCTACATCTCACTCGTCGAGGCCGTCGGCAACCCCGTCAACCTCGGCATCGTGCCCCGCCAGCCCACCGACGACGTCCAGCCCTTCGCCGAGGACCGCCCCCAGACCCTCGACTTCATCCTCGAGGAGTGGGACAACATCTCCCCCGTCGTCGTCGCCGGCGGCTACCTCGGAGACAGCGCCCGCTGGGCCGTCGACGAGCGCTACAAGAAGTGGGACGTCGCCGTCGCCTTTGGCCGCTACTTCATCTCCAACCCCGACCTCGTCTTCCGCGTCAAGAACAACATCCCCTTCACCCCCTACGACCGCTCCACCTTCTACCTCAAGAAGAGCAACGAGGGCTACAACACTTGGGAGTTCTCCGAGGAGTACGTCAAGGCCAACGGAACCGCCTAAAGGGATACATATGATAATATGATCAGATATATGGGCATCAAGGCATAGCACTGGAGTTTGGGTTTGATTTTTAGATACACATATACCGTATAGAGACGAATACACTTTTCTTTTCTCTTGAACAGATCTTTTGTGCCTGTGAGGCTAATATGAAAGTGGGCAATACCTGCACATGTTTCAGACATATCGTGGACATTTTAAGTTGCTATCGTGATTAGCTTATCCAGGATGTGGTATTAGTTTGCGAGACTTGGTGCTGTTCATACATCAAGGACATAAGCCGCCCGGTGAATCGATCGTCGGATACCAAGCATCCCAGCAACATCAGTGGCAGATGCGCACAAATTACTGGAACTAAACTCACTACCATTATGAGCAATCGATCCTCTTGCGGAGACCGTTCACTTTGTTACTGGACTCGTCCGAGACGACCTACTTTTCCTCTGGCTGGACACCTCATTATGCTTTATTGTCGTCCTCGTTCTCGTCGTCAAGTACAGAGAAAATATAGCAATAAAGACACAGGAAAATTAGGAGGTTTCTTCATTCCAAACTCAGTGAAGTGATCACTATTCTGATGAAAGAGATTTATGTACTGAGGCATCTCAGATCCGGCTTTTGCGGTTTTCCGCGTCCCTTATCAGTTCATAAGCGCGTCCTACAAAAACCTTCACACGTACGTACACAAACTGATATCCGATCACTATGCAGAACGAGGAGAGCGTCAGGCCACTGGGCTTTCACTCTGGAGGGCTTCGATGACGCAAGGGGTGAGCTAATCCATGTTCAGGGGAAACTCAAGGCCACAGGTTTGCTGTGAATAATGTATCCCATCAAGTTGAGAACAATAACACCAATGCGATCAACACACCCCCTCACTACAAGAAGTCCGTTAGCATCGACCTGTGTACGCTCTATCAAGCGACTCACAGCGCCCAGGCTTCGCAGGATGGGTTCTGGGTTTGTGTTGTCTTCCAAAGTTGCGGTGTTACGCGCCTCGTAACTTCGGTTTCGCGAGTTCTAAATGCGAGCTTAGTAGACTGCATTCTAGTCGGCATATCAAGATTTCAGACTGGATCAGCTCCATCGTTCGAGGCAGAAAGAAGTCACGAAGCTAAAGTTCGGTCTAACAGACACCGTAGCACTTCATTTATGCTAGCATTGAAGTTACACAGTCAAGTGTACCCGGCGTGTCACTGCTGATTTCGTCGTCGAAGACTTGCCACGCGTGATTGTCATCTGCAGGCTGAGAAAGAGGCTCTCGGCAGCAGCCGAGGTTCATATGGGAATTACGATACCCAAGACCGCCTGCGGCGTTTTCTAAAACGATTGCATTTCGAATGAGTATGCTGCATTGGTCAGACAACCTTCCCGGTTGCCGATTTAGTTCTTTTCTGGCCATGCAATGTCATCGATGACGAACCAGCCTGTACTTCTAAACCGGTCAAGACTCATTTAGCAAGAGAACAAAGACTGAATGCACTCTGAGATTACGTCCGAGAGCTAGAGGCAGAGACCTATTCAAAGTCCCTGCATCTTCTATAAACTGTGTGACAAAAATTATGGCAAATACTAAGGCAAAAATCGAGCATCGGACGAAACGGGAAATATCCTTCAACCCCATTTTCAGAGGTCAATTTGTGCTGCAAAGAAATTTAGCCTCTGGTTCAAAGCTGGACTTTCTCTTTGTCTTAGGCTGTCGTTGCTGCTTCGATATTTTCGCTACATGACATCTGTTTCCACGCTGAATACCAATGTAAGTTTCTTCGCAACGGTGAAAATGTCTAAGCAGGCGAGAAAGATGTCTAGCTTGCTTCATTTCACATACTAGACTGTGTGTCGGTCAATGAACAATGAGCGCAAATCACAAGTAAGATGAATGACTCTAGTATAGGTGTGTATGCCGAAACTCCATTAGGAATGTCGTGATGCTTCCATACGCATCAACAGGAAATCGGCCAACACCATCAAGCAACTAACTAAAATTTCTCCTACGCGCTACTCATCACATCTCAAACGAGAGCCGTCAATACTTGGCAGCCCACCAAACCCATCGAAACCCGCCCCAAGAACCCAAGCCCACTTTCATAATGCCTCCTCCCAGCCCCGACCCTCAACCAAACAAGCTCGAGTCCTCAGGATAACCGGCCGGTTGGCCCAATGGCAAGGCGTCTGACTACGAACCATAACTAAAAAATCGTGCAATCAGGAGATTCTGGGTTCGACCCCCAGGCTGGTCAAACTTTTTGGCAGAAAATGCCGCTCAAAGGCTTGGAAATTAATGTCGCGGGGTTGGTGTAAGTCGTCCACGTGGTGGATATCGCGAAGAATTTTTATTTTTATTTCCTGCCATGCGCCAGCGCCAGCGCGCCAACGTGGGAAACCCGCTCTAAAGGCCCACCACACCTAACCAAGTAACCAAGCTTGACTGACCCCGGTTCTGTCGACAACTCATGAACCATGGCCATAGTTGCATAGTTACACGAGGAGAAAAGGGGAATTTCCAGAAAGTTACTTAGATGAACGGATGCAAAGGAATCGTTCGAGAATCCTTCGTTGTATTCTTCGGTGGGACTTGGCAGAAGTCCGAATAGAGAGAAAAGCCGCATAGGTACTCTGTACATACCCCTGCAACTCCTGAAAGAAAGAGAGAGTAGCAACAACATGCAACCAACGCAGGGGGGTTGGTTTCCCAAACTCGGTGACAAACAGGTCGCAACGTCAAGGCTCGCGGCGTCGCCGGCCGGCAAAGCGTGTGTTCGATGTCGATCCCCCTCTTTCCCGCGCCGCCAAAACGCAACGTGGGCGCGCAACATAAACCACATGGTTCATCGAGGAACCTCATAAACAAGAAACATTGACCACCACACACACCCCCTACTATGCAGGTGGAGCGAGCGAAGAAAAGGCGTGGACCTCACATGTCGCCTCGCCTGCCCCCTTCTCCACACAAGGTGAACAGAGCGCGCACCGGGACCCGGATTGCGGCTGTGTGCCTGGTAAGGCGGAGACACAGTTTATCAGGCCTGACTCGGCGCCGCCCCCCCGGTCCTCCATCCCCCCCTTCCCTCTCGCCAAAAACCTCACCCCGGTCCCCCGGCTGCCCAACTTTCATAAAAGACCGGTATGGCCTTGGGCCTTGGGCGAAGCTTTGGCCATCTCGATAGACTCCCGAGCCTCGAGGGGGGGGGTTGGTTTGGTTGGCGGCGGCGGCGGGGGCTTGACCTGGCCCGTGTGTGGATTATGCCGAGAGAACAAGACAGCAGTCATGAAAGAGGCACGGGATCCCGGGTGCCCGGGGGGAGGGGGGTGTTCGTTCAACGGCCCATGAGATGTCTTTTCTCCCCCCTTCTCTCTTAATCCCGTGATGCTTGTCAGTCAAGGCCGGCAAGGCCGCCCTCACAGCGTCGCAACCCGAGAAAGGCAAAGAAAGATCGGCCATTTTTTTCTATTAAGTGCTCATGTGTGTTGCTCCAGGATGCCATGACTACGGGGAACCATCAAGATATTATCGCGCATCGTTCTGTACACTGTGTATCCGTAGTGTAACGCAGAACCAAGACTCAACGGGCGTCGATAGACTTCATGACGGATTTGGAAAGAAACCCCCAAAGGAAGAACAAGACTGGGCGGGGTACTCTGACCTCCCGGCGCGAACGTTAGAAAGGAGATTATTACTTTTTTTGCTCTGCTTCTTCTCTTCATATGCGAACCGTGGCTTTTCTACATGATTATGATACACGCCATCGGGTTGAGTCGTTATGCGACGGAGACCATCTCTCTTCCGTCAGATGGCATCTGCCCCATTTTCTCTCTCTCGAATCCGTGACCAAAAATGGCAAATAGGTCATAGGTCATAGAACAGGTCATAGAACCATACTTTCCCCTGCCTTTGCCCCTAAGTCCCCCGAATGCGAGAAAAAGCCAGACGCCCGCCACCGCCCTTTTCTTTTCATGCGATGGAGAAAAATAATCCTACACATCAGAACCGTGAATCGTTCCCCTTCCCTGAACACAGGGTATACACGTGTCTGTCCGCCTTCATCAGAAAGGAAAGAGTCGCTTAGGCGTCCCAGTCGTTCGTCTGGTGCTTCTTCTGCTCCTCGGCCTGAGCAGCATCGCCTTCGGCCTCCCTGGCCCGCGCGTTGCGAGCCCTGCGGTTGTTGTTGGCTCTGGGGTCTTCTTCTTGCTTGCTGACCGCAAAGTTGACCCTGACCTCACGCCCGCGGAGAACCTTGCCCTCAATCGCGGCTCTGGCCTCCTGCGCAGCCTCAACAGAGTGGAACTGCGCGTGGGCGAACCCGCGAGGCCAGCCCGTCATCTTGTCGACCGCCACACGCACGTCCTTGACGTTCTGGAAGACGCCAAAAAGCTCGTTCAGCTCTGCGTCGGTGGCTTCGAAGGACAAGTTTCCGACGTAGAGCGTGTCCGTCGGGGCGTTGTTGTCTACGGGCCGACGTTCGGGCCTTGAGCGTCTCTCAGCGTTCGGAGCCCTGGCCTCGGTCTCCTTAACGGCGATGCGACGGCCATGCCAGAAGGTGCCATCCACCTCCCGAACAGCCTCCTGAACGGAGGCCGCCTCCTTGTAGTAGACGAAGCAGAAACTGCATTCGAGCCATGTCAGCAAACCATTCTTCGTCGTTCTCCTCTTCCTGCTTGCGTAGAAGCTATCGCGAGGGAGAGGGAGCGGGGCAAAGATCAACAACGTACGTCTTCCTGGGAGGCTGCGAAACGCCAACGACCTCTCCAAACTTGGCAAACGCCTCAGCGATCTCGTCTTTGGAGACCTTGAAGGGGTAGTTCTGGATGAAGATGCAGTGTTCACTCGGGGGAGGACGGTTCGCGCCCTCGGACGCATACTGCTGCGACTGCTGCTGCTGCTCCTCGCACAAGGCGATGGAGCGGGAAAAGGCCCTCGGGGCGGCAACGGAGAAGCATCTCACAGCGTTGGCGGAGCGCAGGGCAAAGGCGATGGACTGCGTCTTGGGCGCGGCGGACGCAGCGGCCGAGATGGCGCTGGTCAAGCTGGCGCGGGTGGCTGCGCGACGAATGGACTGCCTGTATGTCGGGGTGACCAATTAGCTCCAGTTCGTGCGCAGAATTCTGGTATGAAAGTCTCGACGATAGAAATTGTGTAAAACTCACATTGTGAAGGATAATGGTCCTGGGGAGTGGGTGGGATATGGTAGACGACGATGGCGATGTGAGCAGACGGAGGCAATCGACTGACGAGCGAAATGGAAATTTTTGGTTTGCCGTGTAAAGTGGTCTCGATTGGGAACGCGCTAACCCACATTAGGCTCTAGCGCCCGGCCGTGACCCACTCAAAACTTTAGTCCGCACGATACTAACATTACCATTCGATTTTCGCAGATGCTACGTATCCATGAGCGTATTTCACGTACTTCTTTGTTACCTAGGGATCAAGTTCACGAAAAACACTGTATTTCTACTCAAGGGTCTTGGATTCATATAGACGATTAAAACTTGTAGCTCACTGGCTACTCGATTGTCCAACGAGAACCAAGCTCGTCGCTGGGAGACGGACTAGATCTCACATAGCTCCGCCCCGGTCAGTCGAGATTGTCAGAATCCATGAATAGCTTCAATCATCGAACCTGCCCCACGGTTTCCCCAGAACTTTTGATTTTTTCTTCCCGACGCAAGGCTTGGGATCTGATCACGATCCCAGCCGACATTGCTTTACCATGGACCAACGCGTGGGTATATACACCTGAACACACCGACCCCTTCCTGTCCTCGCCATACCGATACCCCGTATCGATTTTGCTTTCCAAAACGCAAGAAAAAAAAGGGCGCCGTCTGACTTTTTATCAACCGACAAAACACGAGGGTATCAGGGCGTCCCTCGCCGCCAGCAATCCACTGGGCTCGGACTGACTGAATGTGACCTGCTGGCGTAGAGCAGCGTATCGGCACATTCGACACAAAAGATAGGAGATACGATTCTCCTGACAAAAAAAAGAGAAGAGCATAATCTCAGGGTACAGAACTGTAATAAAACACGCGAACCTCTCGTGAAGGTCACGGACGGTAAAATGTTGTTTTGACTGGGTCCACCAACCCATCATGCCGCGTTTGCAATTTGCCGCTCTGGATGATTCAACTCGGCGTGATGGGTTTTAAGAGATGATGGAGTGTATGCTGCTAGGGCTTGGGTAAGGTTCTTAGTTGCTCAATACCTCGCCTCTGCAGGACGGTACCCGCCGTTGACTCTAGGTGCTTCGTACTGTACGCCGGTCATAGAGTCAGGCCCATTGGGAATCGCGCCGTTCAGCCCTCTAATAGGCGGGAGCTCGCGGCGACTTGCGTAGGGATCTGTCTGATAAGGTGCTTGCGGAGGTGGCGGTGGTACTTGGGCTTGTGGGGGAGCCTGGCCTGTTGGCGCTTGTTGCATTCGGAGATTGTGCAGTTCACCCTGGAGCCGCTGAATGTCAACTCGGAGGTTATGATTGTCCTGTCGCATGGCGTCGTTCTCCTGCATCACGGTATTATTTTGTCCCTGGACAATTCGAATGACATCCGCCATACGCTGGTGCTCAGAAATTGCTGCAACTAGGTCAGATATCTCCCACCACGGCCGAGGTTCCGTTAGTTACTTACCCTTTGTGAGAATTTCCCACTTGGAAGCTTTGGAACCCCGCTCTTGGGGCATCAAGTCTCGCAACTGGTCGAACAATTCCTTCATTTCCGTTCTCCTCTTTCGCTCTGCCAATTTATGGCTCTTGCGCAGCTCTGGGGTACGGCTGTAGGGCTGAGCTCCTGTTCTGGAGGCGGCGTCGTCATCGCGAAGATCTCCGATCTGCTTATGTTGCAGTGAATGGTGGTGTACTGGAGGGAAATCGGATGACGTGCTCGAGAGGCGATTGTTGAAGTCGGTAGGCTCGTCCAAGCGTCTTTGGCCCGGGGGCAATCTCGATTCGGTGGTAAACTGACTGCTGGCGATGGATTCGGCAACACTACTGCGTCTGGAGTCAAGGTAGGCGTCGTGAGGCCCGATTCGCTGAATCTCCTCCTCCGGGAAGGCCCAAGCTTGGCCCTTAGTCGGCTCGGCAGCCCTCGCGATGTTGCTGGTAGCGGGTCCGGTGATGGCGGGTGCGGTTCGGATGATCTTTGGATTAGGGTCAGGATTTCTGTCATTACTTGGCTGGTAGCCGTTGGAGATGCGGTGTACCGAGAGATTGTCCAGACCCTGACGCGGGTTCCTTTGCTGGTTAAGAGTATTTTGAATCGACGTTGTCGACTGGTTGTGACTTGCGTAGGGGGAATTTCCGCCCAGCCTCATCTCGTGAAAACCCTGGTTTATCCTGCTGTCGACACTTTCTCTGCGTGAAGCGGTGCCGAAGTCTTGAGCAAGCAGTTGCGGATCCGAGTTCAAGGATGTCGGTCGTTCGAATCTACGCGGATCGGCACTCCCGGGTGTCGTCGGCGAGACCATGGAGGCGACGCTCATGTTACTCGCGGGCGACACAAGTGATTGGGGTACTAGGTTCGCGGTGACGGGAGAGGGCGTCTTGTCGGCCAACGATGACTGGTAGCCTGAGCCGGTGGGACTGAGGACGTTGCCTACACAGGAGGCAGCAGAGTTGTCTGTCAGGGTGCGTGTTAGCTAGATCGTCGTTGCATCATTCGTAATGACTCCACCGTCGACGTACGCTTGCTGGATGCATCTGTGCTAGAGAAGTAGGCCGAGTCGCGGTTCTCATCTGGATTCAAGACCCCTGCCAACCCCGCGGGCAATTTCTGAGAGATTGGTCGCTGCGCGTCCATGTTGTATGATTGCCGTAAGCTACTGGGAAGAACGAGTGCTGAGGCCTATATCGAGCGCAAGTCGGTTCGAGACGGTGATTGGGGTCGGCGGCTCAAACGTCTAGGGCGAATGACTCTCGGGCGAGGCGAGGAAGATTAAGTAGAGGGGCTATGTGCGCAGTAGCACCGTTGGGAACAATGAAATTGTCCGTGGCCCGACGACGAAGATCATGCGATGACGGCAGCCTTTTGAGAAGGCGTCTGATAGTCGCAGGCTGGTCAGATGGTTGAGATTTGAAGGTAAAGAGCGTGTGGTGTTGGATACGGCGGTGGTGAGGAGGAGACGGTGGAAGGCGAAAGCGACGGCGAGGTTGCAGGACGGAGACGAGGTTAAGTTGGACGAAGTCAAGGAAACAAGGAGGAGAGGTCTAGCAAACTAGAGGGTCGGCGTAGGCGAGGGCGGGTGGAGGAGAAAGACGGCTGGAGGCAGTCGGTTTCAAGACTGGGAAGAGCTGGGGGTGGAGGGGATAAGATGGAATTGAACAAGCGGCAGCGCTAGGATGACTTGGCCTGAGTAGAGCAGCCAGACGTGTAGACGCAGACACAGACGCAGAGCGAGAGCAAGAGCCACAGCCAGGAGCCAGTCGAGACCCACAGAAAAGAGCGAAAGAGACGGCACCAGGGAGAGCGACGGTCTTCGTACCGTGCAATGTACCTCAGCCGGGGGTGAGGGGGGGCCACGATTGCACAGGTCAAGCCAAGGACAGGGCAAGACACAGGGTTTCTGGGGACAGGGGGGTAGAGGGAACGAGGGAGTGAGGGTAAACTATCCATCTCTGCTGTATCCGTATGAATACATGCACAAGTACCTTGCCTTACCTCACATGGGGGCAGCAGCGGATGGGGATGTGGCCTGGCGCTGATTTGGATTGTGCCTTGGTCAATGAATGGTATGAATACCTGGGTCAGATGTGTACCTTACTTATCCCGCATCCCATTCCCTTTTTTTGCCAGAGGGGCACAGAAGACTGATGAGGACAAAAGCAACGTGTGTACTTTGCAGCATTTCAGAGGGGGCACAGAGATGCAGGTCCAGGTCCAGGTCCAGGCGAGCGAGTTGTCAACAGCAGCAACGCAACTGACTGGGTGTTTGTGTGATCTGGAGAAGAGTGAGGGGAAAAGGTTGGGTGGGCGAACAGGCGCCGGAACATGGACGCTGGAGTGGCACTGGCGTCTATCCGTAGGTAAGGCGTGGGCAGGTAGGGTAGGGTGCCTAAGTGTGAAAGTGGTGAGGTGAGGTGATGTTAGGTTAGGTGCGTGCCTCTTGATCTGGGTCTGGTCCTGGCTTGAGCAACGGCAGGCCTTTCCGTCTGGTTCTTGTGCTTGTTCTTGTTCTTGGTCTTGTTCTTCACCTTCTCCTCCTTCACTGTCACCATCACCATGGAACATACACTATGCAGTATCCGTATCCGTACCTATATCCATCGACACAACCACCTTCTTCCTGCGTCTCTTGCCGAAGAGCTCCCGCCCATCCTTGCGATGCGCCGTCGACCTGAAAATAAGGTATCTTAGCTAAGGTGCTATTGCGCTGCGCAACCATGGGCGGTTAGGTACTACCGTGCCGTGTCCTGTCCTGTCCTGTCCTGTCCTCGCAACCTGATTAAAGTACAGGCGTAGCCCGATCGAGTGCATGTACCCGTGCTCTTTTGGGGTGCCGCTGCCAGCCCACCCTCCGCTCCGTCCAGGCCACGCCTCCAGAGACAAGGCATGGGGGGTCTAGCGTCCATGTCGACGCAGACGAGAAAAGTACCTCGGCCGTAGGTACTGTAGACCCGGCTTCACCTCAGCGTGCCTGCACACCAAGTCCTGTTCCACCTCTTTGTCATACCCTGCGAGCCCGCGCCGTCGTGCCACAAAATGGCAGCACAACCGAACCTTGCTCGGGTGGTTTTGCCCACGCATGGGCGCTGTTCGCGTTTCTTATTTCCCGGCCTGCGTGGTAACGGATACCTGAGATGGCTGTCGCGCCAAGCCCATTATCCCTGCCCGCACGCCCCAGAGGGACAGCTCCATCACTACCTTGCAGTGTACATGGCGGCCAGACAGTCCAGCCTGGTCTTGCCCATGTATCGATACGCACGCCCTCGTGGATGTGCCAAACCACGCTGGGAAGCACAGGAGACGTCTCCGATGTGAGTGGGGTCGCGGCCCTCACATGCATCGAGCATCCATCTGCTTGTCGTGTGGCATCCATGGCAAGGTTTTTTTTTTTCGTCGTAGCCGTTTATGTGCCTGTGTATCCGTCGCGTACTTCACAGCACACATTGTGCGCAGTACGTCTGTGGTGCGTGCTTCCTCTGTTGTTAGACTTTGCCCTTGGGGATGAGAGCCACTGCGGAACTGTACAGAAAAATCGTGGGCCTCTTCTTCTGGCGCCGTCGAAGAACAAATAAAAATATCCAATGAAATGAAGCAGTATATCTGAGATCCTGTCGATCTCTCTATCCGTGCGCGACGAGCCCTGCCCGGCGTCCTGGTCTTCTCGTTGTTTCTTCCCATGCGTCTGGCAATTGGCATCCGCCATCCGCGCCCGCGGTTCCTGGCGCCCTTGTACACCTATCCCACGGTGTTAAAGGTTAGCGTAGTACTTGCGGGGCTTCGTTATATGGAAAGAACCGCAAGAACCGCACTAACCTTTAAGACCGTGGGATAGTGTAGACTTGGAAGCACAAACCCTGAATCATCATCATAAGCATGTACTCTGCAGTGGGAGGATGAACACCCCATGCGACACAGCAGCAGGGCTCCAGATCGCAAATTATGCCCTAAACTGTAGGCTTGTTTATCGCGTAATTGGCTGGCGGTTCCGTTGCACATGAACCGGCATTGTCCGTTGGTATACAGACACCATACTAGACACTGGCCCTCATCAAATTGTCGATGCCAGACCAGAACGGACCCAGATCGGGCAGGCATGTTGGTCAGGCCAGACCTGTCCCAAAGCCGGGTCTCGGGCAGCGTGGAAGAGACGCCCAGCGATAAAAGGAATGGGAATTGATGGAGGAAGCCGACGTCGGGCCCGCTGTTTTCATGTTTCGTCTCACAATTGATCGACTCCAAATATGCCACCCGCTGTCGGGGCTTGCGAACTGGCGGGGGCAGAAGGAAGCCGGCGGGCCATCATGGCGAGACAGGCCCTACAGGACAGGCCGATGAAGAGGGAGAAGAAAGCCGGACCGATCATGTCTGGAGTGTGCCACTTGAATCCTGCATCTACGCCATCTGGGCGTCACTCTCGTTATTCAGGCTCGGAGTCTGGTCCGGTCCCTGATCTAGCGACTAGAGTGTGGTGTATTTGTTTGCAGTCGGAACATGATCGCCAGCGTCCGTTCCGGGAAGAAAGCACGTCCGGATAGGCCGTGTTGTTGCCGCTAATCATGACTGGTAATCATATGGGGGTGCAAGGCACCGCGCTTTAGCGGCCGGCCGAGAATTCCAGCGGCGTCAGTAACGACCGCGGCTCACGGATTGCCAATGCTAGGATGACTTATCCGCATGTGTGCACTCATATAGATTGGTACTTGGGTATTATTGGCAGGTCTTTTGAAAAACTTATTAGGTGATGACCCCAGCAGAAGTGAGTTGATAGGAGTCGCCGACAGCTCACAAAGAGGGACTTGCGGGCTGATCAACTCGTCTTGGTTGAACCAAGTCAGCATATACCTTGTGTGTGCGTGTGGTCGTGCCTGGCGCACAGCAATGGCCATGTGAATAGCACGGGCAGCTCCAAATGCTCGTGTAAATGTGGATAGTGAGGAGTCAAGATCCAAAAAAGAAAACGAACGCCCATGGACCTTGACCCAAGCGCAAAGAAGCGGAGGGTGGCCCCGGGGGATACGCCGCCGGGTGATTAAAATTCTGAAGCCAAGGGACCCCTTCATCGACGAGCCCCTTTCCTCACCGAAGGAAGGGATCGGGATGAAAGGACAGGGCTGTCAGGCCAAAGGACGGGCTCCGGGCGGCGGGGACCAGTCGGAAGAGGGTGGTGTTTCTCGTCATCCCAGACGGTGATGGACTGGCGGGCAGGCGCACAGCCAAACCCAAAGCCACGAGCCAGCACATGGTGGTATGGATGGGATGGGTGAAAGTGATGGTGATGGGCCATTGGCGATCCAGCGGCAAAAGTGTCTCCAGCAGGGTAGTTGATACTCGGCGGCATGGAGTACGGCGGTAGGTAGGCGAGGGCATACTGCGTACGCTTCTGTGCAGAGTACCAAGTAAGCATTCGTAAGGTGTTTGACAAGGCCCACGCACGTTGGTGGAGGTGGACTAGCAACCATCAATGAGGCACGGCGTGGGCTTGACCATGACTGCCGCGTGCGGTGCTTGAAGCGACCAAAGCATTTTGGCTGCTTGCCTCGTGCGCAGCGTGTGGGGGACTAGCTGGGAGCAGCGCCGTTTGCGATGTCAACGACGGAAAGGTAGAAAGACAGGACGCGTGGTGAGGTTAGTGACTGCGTGAGGGAGGGATGGATGGAGGGAGGGAGGATCTGCACGTCCAATCCAATGACGGATCCATCCCGCTATGCTGCTCGATAACCCAAGCACCCAAATGACTGGGCCAAGGTAATGGAATTGGATTCCAACTGCATTCCATGGTGTACAGCGTTCGCGAGAGGCTCGTACCAGGGGCACCCGATCTCCCTTTCCTCTTCTCGCGGCACTCAACAAAAAGAAGCCACCATGGTGCTGTCTGTAGGTGCGCCGGACGTCGGAAAGACAATGAACATGTCCAGCTGAGCTGTGGGTATTGTCTCTGGCCAAGAGCACGATGTTGATAGTGTACCTGGTGTGCTACCTGCCTTCTGCTCTGTCGTTCCTGCACGCTCGAGTATTATTGGAACACTTAGCAGGAATGATGCGTGCCTACCCACTTGCTAAGATAGCTTTGGTGGCCGGCGTGGCATGCGAGACAAGATGTACACAAATAAGCAGTCTGCAGCAACCCCACGTTGGCG